ACACATCAGAGAGGCTCTAGACAGCAGACTGAGGCAGAGATTCAGCTGCTAGATTTTCCATCAGCGGAGAGACAAAGTAAAATAATCATCTAAAAGGGATGGGATAAAATGATGCTCCGATGTATATTGTTTCTTTTGACAGTTAATTGCTTAAATTATGGTCAAATTAATGGCAGGGTTAAAATGTTGGCCTTTGAATGTTGTCTGCATGTTTTCATGTGCTTTCAATTAATTAAGTCCAATAGATTTTATTTAGATTTATACAAATATGGAATTGTTATAATTTATGTTAATAAGAATTTATTTTAATCATGTTGTTTAAGTAGAATAATTATAAGTAAATCAGAAAGTATACATGGTGATTTTAAAACTTCAGACTTCAATGTAAAGGTCTTTAAATGACGCACTTGATCCTTCCACCCTGCGAGACTTTCTCTTTGGCCGACCTCCGTGATTGGGGTTGCTAGGAGATTTTTACAAAGTCCCTCAGTGGACCGCAGCTCAGACTTGTGTCAGCATGACGTATGATCTGTCATTTGTCATATTCTCTCATGCAGAGATGTTTCAATGCGAGGGGGGGCCTCTGGCTTTTTAGTTGCAATATGTGCACCAAGTGTGAATCCAAACTACGTCAACATTCCCAGCAGAAAAAATCATAAAAAATAAATTTTACTGAAGCACATATGTGAGCATATATAGACTTGTGGATTGTTATTGATCTGTTCATGACTCTATTGTCTGAATAAGAATAATTAATATTTCATTGTTTCCAGTAACTGAAACTTTTAGCTGTCCCTTCATTAAAGCTGAATCATCCCAGTTCCTGTTCTGGACTAGAACAACACTGAGTTCAAGACAAAAACAAAAAAATTTTGAATTATACCAAAATCAGTTTTTGCTCTGTTGTACTGCTGCTTGGCGGGATCTGAGGATATTTTGTCAGAATTTCTATTGCATTTGTAATTTTATGTGTGATCCTACAGGTACATCTTACTTCAAGGTACATAACCACATCCAATATGGCACAGAAAATGTCGATACTTCTTTTATCAACTATACATTGAATTCAGCTGTTCCCTGTTGAAGCACAAATTTGGAAATTTTGAACTATAATGCTATTTTTCATAGTCCCATATTAATGTTTCTGTTTTAAACACAAGGACACTTAAATATTTCAGTAAGAAATATTCAAGTGTCCTTGCAAAACTTATTTTATTTCTTGTTTGTAGACACTATTTGCCGATTCACATGAATAATACAAAATACACTCAACAAATTTATCATGGCACTATACTGCATGTAACTTAGTTTCTTTACTATTTTAAAGCATCAATTTTTCAATATTTATTTGATTTGTTACCATAAATTATCCTTGAATGCATCTTTATGCTGATATTTTATTTAGATGATAGTACTTCTGTTCTCTGACATATACAGTAGTGAATGCATGCTTTTAGTATTTTTTTGCATTTAGAGATTGATACTACTACTAATGTCAGAATATAAGAAATAACAATCTTAGATAAAAATAAATGAGCAAACTATTAGGAAAGTGTTATTAAGACAAGGGCAAAAGTCATACAGATGCAAGTATACACCCTTTCTGCTCAAACAGAGCTTAAAGTAACCAGCCAAATAAACCAGTACAGTAAAACAAAACTTCAGGCTGCTGAAGAAAAGACTTACAATCAGTTTTTTTGCACAACATTTATTTTTTAGCAAATGAAACAATCAAGTTTCTAACACAGTCTATAAAACAATATCTATGAAACCTTCAGTTTTTGTACGCATGTTGAAAACTGAAATGAAAAGGTTTTTTGATTTGTTTGACTATGATACCATACTGAGTATTTCATAAGCAGTAATTTGTATAATCACTAACTGGAATAGGCCTCCTAAACAAAACATTAACAAGCTCATTAATTCCTTTAAAAAAACAATTTATTACGCTTTTAGATTCCTCTGGTTTAGTGGACCTCAGGTTCACCTGTAGAGCCTTATATCTGTCACATTATGGCACCTCAACTGACTGCATCTCTTTGTCAGTCCGCCTGCCTCTTAAGGATTCATTAGACTCCAGCAGCCTAAACATATTGCACCATTCAGCTGGTACTTATGTGTCATCTGTTATCTATTGGACTGGTGTTTGTGCTGAGCATATGAATGATAATCAGGCCTTTGTAAGTCCATAGAGGTGCAGCAGGATCTGCAGTCTGTGATGTTGCCTCAGGGGGAGATTAGGAGGGGCAGCCGGCCCTCTGTGTCACGTCGACAGTCACAGCGCCCATCCGCGGCCGGGCCAAACCCCACTGGGACCTTAAATCCTGTTACACTGTCAGCTAAAACCATCATTTGTATTAGAGATGTGTGGGTGTTTAAGTGTGTGTACATATTAAGTGCGGGGGGATAGTGTCTTAAACTATGAATAATTCATACCAAAAAGAAAAGGAGATATTGACTACATCTCCATAAACAGACTGCTCTCTTTATGTCATCAGGCACGAGATCTTTGAGTATAATTGGGTAAAAGCCCCTGAAAATGTGCTTCTGCAGCAGCACAGCAGGCACTGGTCAGTGTTATCATCAGGGATGAACTTGAGTGATGGCAATTGTTCCAACTTAATATCTTATAAATAATTTACTATTTCAGGGGCATTGCTGTCCCCCCCAACAAGCATAAACGTTAAGAAGCTTTGCTAACTCACAGCTGTATGCTGAACACACGCTGAATGTGTCTGTGAGGGAAAACACACAGATCTGGATGTGATGATGCATGAACCTTATCATAAGAGGCTATGAATGTATACTTTTTCAGCTTGAGAGTGGCCCAAAAAACAGTAATAGAGTTGTTGTAATGTGAGTGGGCTATTTCCCTCCATTATTTATCTCAGTAACAAGTGATTATGGAGAATGAGATTCTTTGCACTTCTGGCCCGCGCCTCCAGAGGGAGGTCAAAACTATTTGTCAGTCTCCAGTTGGGATTGCAAATTAGGATGAGCCTCCCTGCGTGACGACCCATGAAACCTCTGTTCCTATCCACAGGGTGACTGCTGTACATAATTCGAAAATTAGGCCCTTTGATAACATCTTTATGTTGAGCAATACGTCAATCTGCCAACAACATGCGGGCCATCGAAAAGCAGCGTTTGAGACACAAGTTAAACCTGCAACATTTAGAGCTGGATGATGGAGATTTCGCGTTTAATTCAGCTTTAGGCTGCAGCGCACGAGCTGGCTGTCTCTGCGTGACAGTAAAATGGCGATTTTAATGTATAAACAAAACATCTCATTAAATTATTCCCAACTTAAGAAACGATGTAAAGGCGATAAAAAGGTGTTTAAAAGATTGGTGGACCGGTTAGGGTCTAATTAAGGACTTCTAATACAACAAATGATAATGGCCCTCATGATATAGCAGTCGTTCGGGTGGGTATTTTGTCTCGTTTAAGGGTTTAACTGCACCTAATTTATATTGACTTTCATGGTGCGGGCTTTATACAGGTCTGGTCAACATGGAAAGATTAGCCGTGTGAAAGTGAACACATCAGGCCTCTTTTGAGAAGGGGAGACAGAGAGCATCACGCTGTCATATGATGTATGATTTAGTGCTGAAAACTGTCAGTTTATGACCATATTTTATTGGAAAATGGGAGACTTACAGGCACAGTTTGACAGCAAATAGACGCCATTATTTCTGTGTACGTATTTGCACCACAGAGTAAAGAGAAAAAAGAGTTATGTTGCAGACAACTCTTCGAACCCTACTGTAACAAACTGCGCAACAACTGTATGTAGAATAGCTTAGCATTAGCCTCTCAACCGTAGGTAGCCGATGTTTATGGTGTCATATTCAGACCTCGTTTTAAGATTAACCTTCATGGTCTGAGGAAAAAGAAAATAAAAACTCAGATGAAGAGAAAATGACGCTCCACTATTTACTAACACATTACGGCTCGGTGTCTTTGAAGGTCTTGTCCAGAAAGCCTTAAAGTGAAAGAAAATGTTTTCCTATTACTTAATTCAATCAGAGCGCGAGGCGGGGGCTTCACGCGCTGCACATTGGGCTCCTCTATGACAGAGTCGCCTTTGTTGCGTCTATCCGCCGCTGTCACACACTTTAATTCGACTCTCTTTCTCTCTCATTGAAAACCCTCCACAATGACATTCAATAAGGGCCGCAGAGTGAAAACCTGGTTATTTTTACATATTCTTTCCCCCGACTCGGCAGGGGCCCGAGCAAAGGAATTAATCACTGCTCTTTAACAGCACTGCCTTCAGGCGATGACTTGTCCTTTTTTTTGTGCCCAGAAATGACACATTAACCTCAAAATGGATATGCATAAACTTTACATTCAGCTGTTGCGTAAAGTGTGCACAGCACTGTCAGCAAAGTAGCCACACAAGTGCAGAAAACCAAATAATTTATGTTGCACATTTAACCAGCAAAATTATCATGTTTATTCAATCATGCACAGGTGCAGTTGATATAAAATTGACACCAGATCATCAAAAATTCTTTATTTATGTTCAAATAAGTTTCATGAAGTGATGTTGTCACTTACAAGCTGTTGAATCAATATAAAAGTTTGTATATCTGCCTTTGCTTCTCGCCTTGTTTACATCCACACACACACTCACACTTTCACTGAAATATATCTGATAGGCTGTCAAGTATCTAAGACAAAACTTGAATACACACTCTGGCTTTCTGAATGTGACAGAAAGGTTTTTTGCGCACATTGAAGCTCTGCTCTATGATAAAATGAGAGTGATGATAAAAGGGAGAATGGGCAGTGCCGCCTCTTGCGGCGTGGGTGGGGCTGACAAGAATAGACTACATTATGCAGTTCATTTAGTTAACAAGTGAAATAATGGGGAAGCGTGCAGTGGGAATGCCGAGAGAAAGGCACAAAACCCTATTGAGAGCTCTTGGCCGCTTACAGCGTAACCGTCACATGGCCGAACCGAGTCCACGACGGCTATTTAAGGAGAGACGCTGCGCCTTCAGCACCACTTCGCTGTCCACAGTCTCAAAGAGAGCACGCTGACACCACCACCACCACCACCACGCGCCAGAATCAACTTCATCCACACTGAGCAACAAGTTTTGCAAACATGCCGAGGTCTTTTCTCGTGGATTCCTTGATTCTACGGGAGGCCAACGACAAGGGGAACGAGAATAACCCACCTTTATTCCCGTACGCCGTGCACTCTCCGCACCAGCCGCACGGGCTCCCGGGCTCCTGCCACTCCAGGAAAGCCGGTCTCCTGTGCTTCTGCCCGCTGTGCATGACCGCGTCCCAGCTACACCCGTCACCACCGACTCTGCCGCTCCTCAAGGCGTCTTTTCCTCCCTTCGGCACGCAATACTGTCACACAGCTCTGTCCAGGCAACACTCTTCATCCAACAGCGTCAACCTCAGCCACGCACCCGGGATATACCAGGCTGCGTACTCAGTCCCAGACCCACGACAGTTCCACTGCATCTCCATCGGTGAGTAAAGCCTCATGTAATTTTAAGGCGAATGCATGGTGCCAAATTTCGTGTGTATCTCGCAGTGGCTGACAATCTCCCTTACTTTTCACAGAAAACAGTAACGGCAAACTTCAAAGCAGCAAGCGCATGCGCACGGCCTTCACCAGCACACAACTTCTGGAGCTGGAGCGCGAGTTCACCTCCAACATGTACCTTTCCAGACTGAGGCGCATCGAGATCGCCACATACCTGAACTTGTCCGAGAAACAGGTGAAAATCTGGTTCCAGAACCGCAGAGTGAAGCACAAAAAGGAGGGCAAGAGCAGCGGGCAAAGGACTGGTTCACATAACTGCAAGTGTTCGTCCCTGTCAACCGCGAGATGCTCGGAGGAAGAGGAGGATGACATGCCCATCTCTCCATCGTCGTCCGAAAAGGAAGATGTGGACCTCTCCGTTTCTCCGTGAACTTTCTCACCTGCTCCTTTCGGATAGATTTTGGTCCTTGTGATTTTGAGAACAGCCAAAAAAGAAAGACTGATCCACTTGAGTTCGGTCGTTTGTATATACAAAGAATATTTAATCAGGGAATTGCCCTGAGTTATTGTATAGCTGTATACATGTTGTACGTTTTGTATGTAGTTTTTTTCTGAAAACGGTCCATTTGTTGTTGCCAATTTCATGAGTATGGTAGGCATATTTGTAAAGACAAACCCAAATGACAAAAAAGAAAAAAACGATTCAACATTGTTTATTAGTATTTTGGGCAAGACAGTATTTTGTATACATGGTTACCATACTGGTTAGATTTATTCTATGTGAATGGAACTGTGACTTCAAATGTGAAAAGAAGCTGGATGGACATTGCTGAGATCCCTCTGAAATTATATCTTCATTGTAATTGAAAAATATTTATTTATTTAAAAATGTTGATACTTAAATAAAAATATTTCTGAGCGGCACTCTGCATTGTGGTGTGAGTTGAATATTTGGGTTTTTTTGCGCGCCACTTATTGCGCACTGTGGCGCGCGTCACGTCAGCTGAATATGTTAAGCCACTATACATTAAAAGTCTTACAACGTGGTAAGACGACTGTAGGTCATAGCTAAATAAAGTGCGAGTCTTATGGGTCAAAATGGTACACTGAATACTCATCCACACATTTCAATTTCCTCCGGCAACACTGCATGTGGCAACATTTGCAGTGCGTAATTTCAGGCGTAAGTCCTGGTGGATTCTAAATTGAAAATATAGTGAAGCATTAATTTATTGGAAAATAGAAATTCTCTTATCAAGGAGTTTTTTTAGTGTTCATCCAATAAGAAACAGACAAGAAAATTTTATTGTCAAGGTTAATTTTGTTTGCTTAAGTAGTCAAAAGAAATGTAACAAAGAGAGACAATCCCAGCAGGCGCTTGCACACCACACACAGACCAAATGTGCTCGTATTTCTAAAAGGTGCACTTTAGGTCATATCAGCTGAACTCCATCCCGAGCGAGTAAATCAAATTCTCAATAATCTTTATCACTTAGAGGTTATAAAGGCGTTGTTTTGGTCTCCTTTCATGGGTCTTCCCGGGGGACACTCACAACAGATATCAGTGACTGGCCCTTTGGAGCTCTTTTCAAGGTTCACGCAGCTGAAATGATCTGTCTCGTGTGACTGAGTTAATAAGCACTCTGGGTGTATAATGGTGCACTGGGAATGTGCATATCTTAAGATATCGATCTAACATGAAAATAAATGAGAAAAAGACCCAGTTTGGTGTCCATGACCCATATTGTTCTTATTGTTGACGCACCAGTGTGGTCAAGTTTATTGTCGTTTTTATGAGCTGCAGGTGTGTTTCTGAATCAACACAAGACTCTAGACCTAGACAGTTTTAATCTTATTGAAGAACATTATATTAATTTGCATAACACCAGAGTTTTAGGGCAAATGAATGAATCCATTAAATGAAACACCAAGTCGAATAATACGCAGCAAGCTCCAGCATAGTTTTTGTGTTAAAAAGACTCATGTGTGTCATCTTGATTTAAAGTTATCTTTAGAAAAATATTGATATTGTTTCTGAAGTAAAAAATATTTAACCATATTGCTGAAATATCCCTGAAAAGACACAAAGAGAAGTTCAGCGCATAGTTCCAGATTTGTTCGCCTATTTTACGCACCGCTACAGCTGCTCTTTGACTGAATCTTTGCATCTCAAAATTATGTCTGTAATGTTGAATAGGCTTTAAATTATATATAACTCCATACAAGTGTACCTCCACACTCCTTTAAAGGGTGTACAAACTGTTCTTAAATTGCGTACAGCGCGTTATCTACATCAGGGTGCCTTTCTGGATGTGAAGTTTCACTTGTAAACTTTCATTTAATTGTTCACTTAACCATTTTAACAAAACTCTAATATTTGCATTTGTTAAGATATGGGATTAGACTATTTTGTTAATTGCACCATAGAGCCCCATTTTGCTCACATCGTCTTCTGCAAAGCACCCTTTATCCATTCAATAGCCCGGGGGTATGCGCCCTGGGGGAGCTTATACGCTCGCTGCTCCAAATGCTCAATTTATTTATTCTTAATTTTGTGCCGATCAATTCATTGAAGCAAAAAGGACTACGGTGTCTTTTTGAAAAGAAGAAAAGGGAATTGTGGACGTAACCTTGACGGAGCTGAGGAGAGGGCTCCCCTGACGCTGGAGAGCCGCTTGAGTCAACAGGCGCCCATCTAGCAGACTCGCCCTTGTCTTTATTCTGGCTAATTTTTTATTTACGGCTTTTCTTTGACATGTCTCTTATCTATCAGATTAAAAGAACAGCTTGTAACAAATCAGTCTGCACGATTTACAACAGCATTAAAAGGGGACAAAGGGAGCAGGCAGTCAGTACCTGAGAGTCTGGTAGACGGCGCGGCGCTGCAGCTGATTCGATGGTTTGAAAATACGCACGAAACAAAATACTTGAATCCTGAAAAAGAGCCTTTGTACGTTTCTTTAGAAATCAAGCAATTCTGCATGACAAAGGACAATTAATAAGCCGTCTTTTCACGACCAGCAGCTGGTTTCCCCGTCAAGGAAAGTTGGAAAAAATTCAGACTGAATGCGCGCAAAAGCCCTTTGCGCGCAGACAGCAACCCAAGGTGACCCATTTGGCACAGTTAAAATAACCAAGCCGAGGTAAAAGCGAGGGAACTGTCAAAAACATTTAAGCTGAAATATCTTGAAATTGCAAATCCCTTTATGTGGAGGGACGCTGCCGATGTGGGTTAGTCGTACAAAGGAGGTGGTTAAGTTGGAGAGGCTTTGGAAACGGACACGTGGCTTCTCAATGAGAGCTCTTTTGGACCCGCGTGGCTTGCTGTGGCACTGCACATTCAACTACTTTAAACTTGAACAGCTTAGTAAAAGCGAGGAGTAAATCGAAAACATTAACGTGCTTACTTTAATGAAATACTTTATGAACTTTTAATACTTTCACCCATTTATAACGTGTTTGTTAGCGTGTTTTTATGTAGAAACTTCTGTGCTGCTCCAGGCTTCCAGTCTCGTCTGTGAGTTTAAAGCACCGAGTTATTGCTGGAAGAGAGGAACCTGTTTTCAAGAGTACGTTTATTAAACAAGAATATAAAGTTTTACCTCCACATTTGTTTACTCCATAGTAGTTGGTGTTTTTTTTTCTTACTTGCAGGTTTCTTAACATTAAGCAGTCTGTTACGCAGGGCAGATTTCAATAGGATAAATGTGTTTTTATGAATTTTAAAAGGGAAATATTTTACTTTAAACAGTTATAGTTTATGACAGATATATTTGTTCTTTTTTGCCAGATGCTTTGGTCTGTTGTGGAAGTTTTTAGTACAGTGGTTTCTTTTTTGTGTGTTGATGTGAAAGTGTAAATAATGTAAAAGCAACATGTTGTCATTACGGAGCTGTTAGTGTTGACAGTGTGTGGGCAGCCTGCTGTAGTGTTGGGGAAGGAAACGGCTCGCCATCGCCTTGAACTCTCGAGTGTTTTCTGCTGCAACATTTGAAACCATTCAGCTGTAAATAATCTGTTTAACTGCTAATCAGTAATGTAAGATGAAGGACTGGCACGCAGCTCCACTCTTCCTCATTTCTCTCCCCCCTCTCATTGAATATTCAGCGCGCGCACCGTCCTCTGCTTGCCTTTTTCAGCGTGCTGCTGGGAAAACGCCTTTTTAATTCTCGGTCCAAGCACACACTGAAGCAGTGTCAAAGGTCGGCAAATAATGAACTGCGCAGACATGGAAGTGACCTCTGCTATACAGCGAGAGCTAAATGAATGCTTCTGAATGGGGTTTCAATCCAAGTATTGGATGTGGCGTTTGGATAAAGTTACAGTGGACTTTTTTCCCCTGTTGTTTGGCTGCTGTCACTCTCTGTCAGACCATGTAAGGGTGCCGAGAAGTTAGAAAATACAGTTGGATTTAAAGGCCAACCTGGTCATTTAGGCAAAACGTAGGAACTTTAACTACTGCTGTGGTAAGTGATAAGAATTTTAGATTAAAAAAAAAAGTGAATGTTGCACTTTTTTAGAAATCTCATCATGATATAATTTGGCACTTTTACCTCTACATCCCACGGTCTGTTTTATGGACATATGTTTTGCACACCCCTGTCACGTCTGATGTTTATCGCTTACGGAAACAAACTAAGTATCCATTATTGATCGGTTGATTCAGTTGTATTATAGTGAATGAACTTTATTTTTCAAAGCAGTTAATGTAAATGAACATGATATGGAGACACGTGTCAATTCTCGCTGTGGTGGCCACCTACACTTGCGAGAATCCGTGCGCACAAACTCAGAGCTGTAGCTGTTTTTGTGGTATAGCTCGCATGGAGAGGTGGTGATTTTCTGTTAATGGTTCTTGTCTCATGGGCCTCAGTGTTAGAGGAGCACTTGCAGCCCTCTATGCACCTGAGCTGTCTGTGTACCCTACAGCGTGGAGCAGGAGCGTCATCTGGTGGCGTAGACCCGTGGTTGTTTCTGCAAACACGGATTAGCTGAGGCATTCTTTACAAAACTTGGAGCTATAAGAGCGGTTACACTAAAAACAAAGCAAACAACATGCATACAGCAGTAAGATGTGGCACAAACAGAGCTCTCAAAGTAGATTCGAGTGCTGTCTCTGCGTGGTAAAATATGTCAAGAAGGAGCAATTTAGTAGGCTGCAGAATTACATGTGATCCCAGAAAAGGCCCCACCAGTCTCAGGGGGCCCCTTGAATTCTCCTCATTCATACAACAGCACCACAGCCTCTTTTATACCAGCCCTCTCAGGGCTGCTCTCCAAAACTGTGTATGGAAGTTATGAATATTCCAGGAGAAGTGAGACATTTTTCCAAATCCAAGATGTATACAAGTTCAAAATTTTAAATACAAAACACAGCGTTATGACAAGATCTGTAAACAAAGGTATTAGGGTTTAAATATGTGTAAGAAGTACTCTGAGATAAAGATAAAATAGATTTGTTAAAGGAACAAAAGCACAGGTTGAGATTAACATCTGTGATCCATGCCTTTCTTTTTAAAATAGACTGTTTTAGAAAGATGTCATGAGCGTGCCACACTTAATAAGACAGCTCAGCTACTCTCACATTAAACAGCCTGAATGGGAAGTCATGTTGTCTTCCTCTGTGTGCTGCAAACTACCAAATCAGAGGTGTATCTTATTAAACCTTAAAATATATTTACCCTTATGACTTATCAAATTGACCGTCAATCTTAAATGATGTTCAACTTCTGGAAACACAAGGCACTTCACCACCTCAAGGAAAGGAAATTCTGTTTTTCGCTGTGAGGTTGGAATCAGTGGTGCTTTACCACGTGACACTGTATTTTAAAGAAACCTTATGTACAAAGGTGACCAATGTGATTTTCAGAGCATTTTATTCCCATAACTTTCTGTTGTAACAAAACTCATCATGTGTCTTATGTACATCACCTCAGATGCTGTCATCAGATGATCGAAAGAAAACTTGGATTTATCAGTTCACTTATTCCTCCTATGAATACAGTTTCTCTTTTTTCAGTATTATACAACAGTTACATAACAAATAGAAAAAAACACTTCTTTATTTTGTATCTGATAATTCGTCCAGTTCATCCAAACAGCAGTTTACAAAACAACCCACTGTGGGAAAGTACACCTCTCTGACATCCCAACTCTGCCATGTTCCTGGGAGCTCACCCACAAAATCGCACAAAAGTGAACACATTAGATCCCGTGTTTGGAACATGTAAAGAAAAGAAACGGAAACCTGGAGAGACCGTCTGACCATGACGCAAAGCACCATCAAATACAGTCAGCGTGCACACACACACACACACACAACCTCCAGTTAACTTTACATACTATATTCAAAATCAATACACAACGTTAAAATCATCATGAAACACAAAGTCCTTACAGACAAAACAGATACACATGAATTTAAGTCCTTCTGTGGCGTAATAATACTGAAAAGTCTTGAGATATATTAAAAAAGAAGTTTTCTTTTAAATATTAGTTCACATTGACATCAGTCTGTCACAGAGCCAACATACAGTATAACTAATGGTATCAAGTTTACCTCTTACTGTGCTAATAAAGGGATAAATAAGAAGAAACATCTCATGTGACATTGTTTAAGAGTTTGTCAGTTATTTAGCATTTTGCCTTCACTGTAAACTTTCTGTTGTCATGTCTAAACCAGACATGTTTGTGGTAAAAGAGGGTCATCTTTTGTGGTACAATGTGTTAGTTTTTGTTGTTGTGTATCGAGGATTGGAGTCGCCCTGATACACTCAAGGACAGAAAAATTGCAGAAATATATAAAAAACCCTCAAATCTCTGACATGATGCAAGCAATGTTTGGTGATTTGCTGGTGACTGTTTTGATTCAGTTAAAATGACAAAAGTAGTCGTTAGAGAAATATCTAAACTGGTAAACCAAGGTTTAACAAAAATGTTGAGGTTGTTGTTTTCACCCAAAAACATCTCACATCTTATTTTGAAGATGAAAGTGTTGTATAACATTTTCGTCAGTAAGAGAGAGAACTGGGCACAAAAAATACTTTGTGCATGGCATCCTTTGAAGATAGACATGCTGTCATAAATAGAATAATAGCTTTTAGTGTTCAGACATTGTAAAGTTTCATATTTCATTCTTTAAATGATTATTTATAATTACTGATGAATATTATTTCCAAGAAAATGACGCAATTTAGTGAATTATCTCCCAGTTGCTGATGGGTTTGTGTTGATTTCTCAGTCGAAGGTGCAGTGTTTCTACTTGTGTAATCATAAGGAAGTGTGTGCGCCTCTGCATGCAGTTGAACTGGACCTTGTTCTGTCATTTCTGTTTGTCCAGTCAAAGCTACATTACTGAAGGTTTAAACAACAACCTTTCAATCTGACCATCTGGTTTTACTGCAGCAAGTCGTTTGGTAACTAAATATACAGAAAAATTGAAAATGTAGTGATATTGAATGCAGAATAAATTAAACAGGATCATATTTTTTGGTATCGTATTTACTACTCTGTTGTGTTTTTTTGTTTGTTTTTTCAAGGCATTAAGAAATAGTGTCAGAAAACTGAAATTACTCTATCAGATTTTACAGACCAAAGAGTGAGTCTCATGATTAAAAAAATGGAGCCCTGCTTGGAGAATAATAGAAAAATAGTGGGGGCAGCAGTAGGTTAACTTTAGATGTCTTATACATACATCCAGACTTCCTTAAGTCCTCCTCTAAACCAATGGTTAAAAAGTTCTCCAGAAATACTGGACTCATAGCAAACAAATGCTGGGATTAAAACTAGATCTCCATATTGTCCTCCCTTCAGTTTCCTTTCATACTGTGTCCATGTATATACACTCAGTGTCCGAGTCTGAAGTTCTAGTCACTCATTCTGTCGGTGGCTCCTGCTGTCAAATATCATGGACCTCCTCTGGGGCTGATAGAAGCAGCTAGTTGATGTTTCCAGTCTCTGTCCACTTTTTGGAAGAGTCATTTTATTCTGAGGAGGGATCCCCTCCGGCGTCCTGAAGTTCTCAGCCATCTCTTTAGCGAATGTGTTTCCTGCTGATGCTTCATTCAGACTCCTGATGGAAGAAAGGAGCCGGCCGTCATCTCCTGACGGTGGGTAGTCCATGATAGGGAAAGGGGGGCTGAGCAAGATGAGACTCTGTGGTCTCTGTCTGTTCCTGAAGGATGGTCTTTGTAAGATGTTTCCCCTGTTGGGTCTGGGACAGTCTACAAACACCTCCAAGCTGGGTGGGTGTCTCCTCATTATGACCGGCAACTCTGCAGTTGACGTGGTCTTCACAGAATCGGCACCATTCCCCACATGGGTGTGTTTTTGGGGTTTGTGAACTGGCTCTTTATTCTCTAGTTCCTCTTTTAGATCTGACATTAAGGGAGGAGGCAAACTATTGCTTTTCTCTGCAATCATTTTAGGACGCTCCTTTTCTTGTTCTTTCACTTCTTTGCAGTCACTCTCCTGTCTGGAGGGAGGGATCTGACTGTACTGCACCTTTGGAGGGACGACAGGCACGGCTTTGGCCTGACATGTTTTAATCATGAAGGCTGTTCTGACTGACGACACACTGACCGGGGCTGAGTTTCTGCGTAGGGGTGCTTGTCGATCACTGAGAAACAGCTCCAGCTCTGAGGGAAGCCCGTTGTTTACAGTCCCAGGAGAAATCTGTAATCCCTTCTTACACGAGGAGAACTCTGATGAGTTGCGATTCTGCTGATTAGAAATGTCCCTGATGCACCGCTGCCCTAGATCTAAATTTAGTGAGTATGGACGATGTTTAGAGAAGAAGCTTTCCTCCCTTTTCTCCGGGGCGACTGCTTCATGAGACATCTGCCTGTAGAACCTCTGAGATGACACTGTATTCTTCTGTTTTGTTGTGCCACTTTTTCCTGCATAAAGCTGTGTTTCATTACTGCTGTTCGCTCGAACCCGTGTAGGGACTGATGGCCAATATGTCCATTTATTCTCCGGTTTGCTGCCGGCACTCTGAGGAAGATTTCCTGACAAGTGCTCTGTGCTCTTAATGAGAGATTGTTGGGTTTCAGCATCTGGGGTAGATGAAGTCTTTCCTCCTTTCAGACTCGGAGACTCCCCTTGTGAGCTGAAGGGGGACAGTTTCTGAAACAGCTCCTCGATGTCAGGTGAGTGTAGAGGACTGGTGACCCACTGCTTGGTGGAGCTAAGATCCTCCCAGGGCTCCACTAAGTCTAGCTCCTCTGAGTTCCCTCCACTTCCTTCGTCATTGTCGAGCACTGGCAGCTCCAAAGTGTTTCGCTTCTCCTCCAAACACACGGACAGCCTCTGAATCACTTCCAGTTCAGGAATCACTTCGATCTTATTTGCGTCTTGTGAGAAGTTTGCGTCACTTTGAGGGACTTCAGGTTTATTTGATTGTTTTTTGATGTCGTCTGCTGCTGTGGGGCCTTCAACTGTTGGGTTTTCCTTCACTGTCAAAGGATTTATGGCTTTATCTAAACAACAGGTTTCCTGTAGAGGAAGTCGGCTCTCTTTGGTGATGGCTGCATCATCTTTGCTCGAGGGCACAGATCTTGGCTGCAGTGTCTCTTTGCAATCCAACAGATCCGCAGCGCAGATATTTTCTGTGTTTGTATGAATAGAAAATGAGATGTCCGACTCAGAGGGCAGTTTCTTCGCAGTATCTGATCTAGCAGTGATAGCGTGATCGCTCAGAGAGGTGTTGAAAGCCTGCTCCTTAAATAACAGAGACAGAGACGGAGAGCTGCGACTTCGCTTTGACTTTACATCCATCGTTAACTTTGTGACCTCAGAAGTGCTCTTGGAGCCAAAAACAGGTTGAAAAGTCTCGTCCAGCAGGTCAATTTCAGGTTCAGTTATTTTCAGCTCCTGGTGGAGGTCAGACCACGGCTCTTTCTTTAAAAGTTTTTTGTCCTAGGAAAGAAGAGATGATACAGAAAGAGAAACAATTGAACTGAGTGGGATTGCAGCTTTCAGTGATTTGTTTTGATAAAAGTAGTAGAGTTGATAATCCATTTCTTACATAAATTTGTATTTCTTTTAACCTATTTTATTGTAATTTTATTATCTTTGTCTTCTTTCTCTTTACACTTTAGAACTAAATGAATGCATATATGTACGTAATGCTGTTTTTGAATCGAAAAGATAAAACTGTATCTCTGCTCCAGTGGAACACAACAAGCTGCATGAGTTACCAGTTGCACAGCTGCAGGCTGGTTTTGAAGATCTTGTCCAGGAGAGGGCGCTGCAGCTTTTCTTTGTGTTGCATCTCCAAGTGACTCTGGTCCCAGTTCAGAAATGTTCTTCCCTCCTTGGCCTTCTTGCTCCACTCCTTTGCTTGTCCCTGAATTCAGAATTAAGATTTTTATGAAATATAATCAAACAATTCTGATTCACTAATGTAATGTCACCAGTCATTATGAAACCAGATCTAGATGTCCTCACCCTCCAACGGGACTGTGCAGACCAGCTCCTCAGTGTTTTTCTTCTCTGTTCCTTCCTGCCGCTTGGTTTCCATTAGGGGGAAGGTGTTGCTCTTTCCACTGCTGCTGCTCTGCTCAGAGCTCTCTTTGGGTTTCAGAGTCGCTGCTTTGTCCTTGGCAGGTCCCCTGCATGGCGTGCTGTTGGAGCTGATAACCGCTGATACGCGCAGGGGTACAGACACTGCAAAAGGCTCAGATATGTTGACAGCTCTACGCTGATGCCTCGGCGAAGACTCCAGCGGGAAGAAGCTTCCCGGAAAGGAGGGTCGAGAGGAGCTGTTATGGGAGGATCCTGAGTATAACATCCTTCTATTTTTGGGAGAGGTGGGCCGGTAGCCGCTGAGGTCATCACCTTTAAACACCTTCAGTTGCTCTGGCAGTGTTTTCTGAGGGGCTGTAGAGGCACCCGGTGAGCCCCTTTGGTTCATGCTTGAGGTCCAGTCCCCTATAGTCCCACCTGTTTTGTTCCCTTTAAACTCCCAGGTTTGCTCGTGTTCACCCAGATCGAAGAGCGAGTCAGAGCCCAGAGTTCTGGATTTGACATCTGAAGCCAAAATACTGCTGGCTCCACCAGATGAGCTGTTGGTTCCTGTTCTGTCATCATCTGAGCAGCATAAATAACAAATATCAAAAAACACTGGCAATTTACTCAAATAGTGTGAGGAGTAAGAAGAATGAATACATCTAGAATTGATTCTCACCTGTTGGTAAAGAGCATAGGGACTCCATGCTCCTGGATGGGCGGAGAGCTGCCTTTTCTAATGAAAACAAAACAACAAAAAACAGTGTTATTACTCTGACAAAACCATAGACTGTATAAAATAGTCTCAGTGAAACCTCTGATTGATTTCTGGGTAGGCTTTATGCCCACCCATGATGGTAGCCATATTGGAAAAGTTGACTAAACCCAAATTTTGATCAATCTGGAAACTGCAGAGGTGGAGTTGAGGTCAGCCTGTCAGTCAAGTCAGTCACATCCCTTGTTATGCCTAATTAACCCAAACTCCAAACCCTAATAACTGATGAGTCTCTAAAAAAAAATGACCCCTTGCGTAGCATTGCAATTAAAACCGAAACAGTTTTTTTTTTTGTACCAGGCATTAGACATGTTTAGTTTAGGCATTAAAAAATGGGCATTTTAAAATGACTGTTAGTGGAGTCTCCATGGCTTTTGAAGCCAGCCGTAAAAAGACACTAAAGGAAACATAGTTTTATTTTGCACTGTCTTGTTGGATTTGTTTCAACACCTCTGGTTGTTGCTCGGACAAAAGAAAGTGCAGAAGCCAAAAGAGAATATTTCTGTGAGGCTTTTTTTTCAGGATTTTTCTTATCGCCACTGAGATTGTCAACGTCATATCTGCTCCTCACTATTGTTAGCTATCCTGAAATTGAACTTCATATCTAAGCCTGAGGGAACAACATGTATAAATAGTAACTCCCAATTGAATGTGCATGTTTGTTCACAGTTACCTTTTATTCCCTGTGCTCTTATGAACACACTGCCATTGCGGCTGAGTTTCCCCTTTGAGTCCACGGAGCGTCCCAGGTTAAAGATGGACTTCCATTTCTTTGATTTCCCAGAGAACTTTCTCCTGACAAACAAAAAAAGAGATAACTAAATCAAGGGCTCTCCTGACAGCAATGAACTGATAAGCACCAAGCGCTCTATATTCTGTTATTAAGTTTCACTGATAATGGATGAAAAGACTGAACTCTGATCCGTCATACTTGCTGTCCGATATGTCTATGACGGTGTGGTAGAGTGTTGCAGTGCTGGTATCAGGCAGGCTGTTCTCTCGCTGGCGTTCTCTGTGCACTGGATGGTTCGGACTTAAGGAGCGGGCCTGGGCTTCCTCCAGACTCATCAGCTTCATCGGTCCACCCTGAGTGCTGATTGGGAGTGTGGCATACTTCTCTCCACACATCAGACTCGGTCCTGATGGGGTACATAATATAGTCAGTTATTTCAATAGGAAGTTGACAAATATGAGAAAATTGAATCTGTTTTAAACAATCAGCATGTGAATGTCATACCGTCTTTGGGTTTGATTTGAGCAGTGTTGCCGCTGAAGATCTGCTGTGTATGGTTGAGAATAAACTCAACCACTGACTGTTGTATCCGCACCTCCTGGAAAGCCATGTCTCCATTCGTAGATGATGCCTCGATGTCTTTAGATCTGAAATGGTTAAAAATGAAAATAAGAAACCAATTAAGTGTTAAAAAAAATTCAAATACATTTTAGTCCCAAAATGATACATCATTATTATTTACCTTAGAAGATTTGGAGCCCAGACCAGAGCCAGATTCCGTGTATGCATGTTGGTCTGGTTGCTCAATGTGGCCAGGTGGGTCAAGTGCTTAGTGAGGTACTCCAGGGTCCTGAAGACAGTTTACAAATACTTCATGTCAGATCCATCACAACAGTTTTGGTTATAGGTTGTAAACTGTACCTTAACTGCCATTGGCTTTAACTCACCTGAAGTGAGGAGTTGGCAGCTCTTTGACGATCCGCTGAATGTACAAAAGTCTCTCATGATCCCCTTGGACTGAGGCTGCCTCCTACACATCGAAATGTTGTTCATATTAAAAATTATATTCAGGCAGTCATGAATGATCACTTTGCATGGCCACAAATGTTCTTGTTGATGTCTGATCATGATTATAATTAGAAAAAAGGTTTGATCCTAAATTATTTGTATTAGTTATCCAAAAGCAAATACACATCGAGTCCTTCTGCTTGTGCTAAAATACTGTCTGATAATGATACCAAATTTGTTTTCTAAACCCGCACACACCCTCAGGTAAACATATCAATTTTCCCAAGTTGCTGGTAAAACATGATTAGGGTAAAGTTACTGTATTTACAGCTATAGTGTCCTAACCCAGTTATCCCTGCTGGACAAATTTAAACAGACACACTGGCGTGCGCACAAACAAACTCATGTGACTGAGGCCCAAAGAGCAGAGCCTGTTAGCTCTGTTTACTGATCACATGTGAGGGTGTCAGCATCAATAGGTGGTTTAAAAACATGCTTTTGCTTTTTGTCTTATTTTCAAAGCACAAAGATTTAATAGAAAACCACACCATAAATCCCATTTCAGTTTAAAATCAATAGAGAGGTGAGAAGAGTTTTAATCAGTTATACACAACACCAATCACTGGCTAAAAATGCACATGGAGAGTTAACTTCTTCCCTCTAATCAGAAACATTCATAACCAAAGCGATGTTTTTGAAACACTGGGCCATATGAGGAACTGATTGTTCCTAAAACACTGGAGCGTTGGAGTTTTCAGTCCCGAGCAGCACGAGATGTATGACTGCCAAGGTATGCAAATGGCTGCGCAATGTACACAGAGAGCTCCACAGAAAGCATGAATGAAAGCAGCTCTCAAAAGTTTGGTATTTCAGTTTCCTCCTCCTCCCCTGCACTTCTCTTAAGTATCTTTCAAATACAAAGTTCGTCCTAGAAAATGCAGCTTCACAGCTTCTCTCCAGGACTTGCCGTAGAGACTGTCATCCTAAGTTTATAACAATAAATTTAACGTTTCTTCTCGGACTTCCTTTCAACTCTAAGCCAAACTCTTCTGCGCTTGAGGACGTATTCTTTATAAGACCGGCGTGGCAATGAGGAAGCTCACAAGAACAGAAGCATAAATGTTAAAACAGATCAGTCAGTTCTGTTACACAGTATATGCAGGAACATCTTTTTCTGATTTTCAGGATGCAGTTTTAAAACTTTTAGAAACAACTACTATCTTTATAATTAACGTTTTTGTATTATAATATCACACAGTGTATTCAATACTTTAAGTTCAGCTAACATCTGCTAATAGTAATGTTCAGCCATGATCTGAGCATGAGGTCACAGTTGTGAAATGATTTTAATATGGTTTACAGAGTGCTCGCCCAAAAACACTGAGTACTAAGGGCCATGTGGAATCAATACTTCTTATTGACGTCTGTGGTTTTAGATGCCCTTTTGACTGTTATAATTCACTATTTAGAAACATTTGAGTAAATCTGCAATGCCGTCAGCGCTATCCCTCTATTTTTTCTGTTTTTACAAATATGACTTGAATGTACTCACGGTAAACTTGCTGTATAGCTCAAATGTAAGCAGAGGATTAGGAAGCTCCCTGAAGTACAGCTTACATAAGGAACCCACACAGTGGATGTCCTGGAGGTACACTTCCTTTGTAAGGTCAGGGCACGCCTCTGAGCAGAATTCCTGCCTGCACACACCAAGCACAGACACACACATATATACACAAAGTTAGCTGAATACTTTATTTAACACACATTTGCATTTTGTGGTAATTTTTAAGATCACTCTGAAGTTTTCCCAGCAAAATACAGACATGAACAAAGATGCTAAAAAATCTCTGGCTCTCTCTTTGTTGCTTATAGATAAAAACTTAGTTGGGCTTATACCAGCCTCAGTATGTTGACCCAGAGTGGTATCACAAAGTTAGAAATCAGTTCACAAGGGCTAAAAGTAAGTCTAGGTTTACTTGGGCCTAAACGTAATACGGAATGGATTTCCTTGAAGAAGTACAACCAGAGCTTAGCCCTCTAACATTGAAAGGAAGTGACATAACTTCTCCAGGAATTCTTAAAAATGATAACATCTTTATGCTCATGTGCTGTAGCCCACAATGTTTGATATTTTCTGAGACTTGAGGTTTTTTCTTGTTGCACAAGTACCTGAGACGCTGGATATTTGAGGTGACCCCTGACAGTCTGTAGATCCCGTCCACAATCCCATGCTCCTCGATAAACTCTGCACATTTAATCAGAACCTGAGGAACTGAAGTTAGGAAATCCTATTAGTCATACAGAACAAGATACGAACATTTAACTCCTACTGTTTCAGCTCTTTTCCATTACATGTGAGATCTCTGGACTTGATGAGCACATTTAGACCCTAACAGAGGGGGAAGGAAGCTACAGTAAAAGCAGTGTTTCAGCAGTAACAATGCACTTGCTGTAAGACGGGCTTCATGGTATGGGGTTTGTTCTACCATGTCTGTTTTGTATTCCTCAGGGCCGCTGATTGTAGGTGGACTTTGACAGGAAGTTAAAAATGGTTTGTTTGTTTCAGAGGAAGGTTGACACACCCAGTCCTTGTAGCTGGTATAACTTACGACATTTCCTCTAATAGAAAACTGCTTTTGAAATGTTACCACTCACCGACTGTACACAGCTTTCTGTACCACAGTTCATCACCTTCTGTACACAACAGTGTTTGTCTGCACTTTTGAAATCTGAAAAGATCCAACTGAGGCTTTAGAGCTAAATCACATGCTCTGCTTCTGTCTAAACATAACCATTTACTAACTATTGATTGCAACCAAGCGTATATGGAAAATAAGCTGATTCTCAATCTGAATGTTGTTTTTTTGACTGCATCAGAGTCTTTTTTTGTAAAGGCCTACAGCCAAACAGCTGCTTGTATCGTCTAAAACATAAAAAATAAAGCTATTCATAGCCTCTGACACATTCAGGTTCTTTCATAGACAAAAAAATAGATTGTTAACCTTTAAGCTGCGCATAATACAAAGTAGGAAAAAGTGTCTGAGTATGTGTTGATGTGAGTTTGAACAATACAGCGCACCCCAGAATAAAAGCTATGTTTTGTATAATAAAAAAGGATTTTTAATTCCTGATGATTTCCTACATTTCTAAATCCTTTAGTCGTGATATATAAGGTTGCTTTTAACAATGATTGATTAATAATCTACTGCAAAATATTGATTTTTAAGATGATCAGATCAGGCTTTATAATCATGAAATGGGTCTGAGTTTTTTACTTCTTTGTGGCAGTTAACTGGGTTTCGATTTTGTGAACAAATCTTGAAGAATGTCATCTTTGGCTTTGGGGATCACCTGTTTAAGTAAATGTGTTTGATACTCTATACCCCATAGATATCCCACTCAGCAATAGACCGCTATTAGACATCTAGTTTTTTTTTTTGGACCTAATTTTAACTGTCTAGATTCTGTATATTTTTAGGCATTGCACTTTAAACCATTATTCAATAACTATTTATTTCAAAAAGCAACTGTGCGTTGTATAACTGATCTCCAAATACTTAACCAAAAGAATTATGAAAGCCATTGAGCAACATACAGTATAGTATAGATAAAGCCCAGTTTTAGATTTAGTCTAAATTTGGTCTAAATTTAGATGTCTTAAAAAACGTTCATTTTTAGACCTGTGGTAGCCTGATTTTAGACCAGTCGTCTAAGCTACATTTAGACGTCTATTACCAAAAATGTTCAGTGGGATGCCTGCATCCAAAACACTGATAAATTTGGAGTGTATTCAACAATTGATTATCAGATTTCATTCTAGCTAATCATGCAGCGGTTTCATTTAAAGCCTAATTTTTTAGTCTCTTTGTACAAAGTTTAAAAACTCACCATCTTGCAAACAAAATCAATCTTCCACAAAGTCAAACAGTAATTTCAGCGGTAATTAATTTCTTCATAACCACTGCAGACAGCAGGAATCTGCTGTTTACATTGTTGTCTATTTGATTTAATTGGTTTTTAAGTGGCGTGCCTGTGGTCAGATGCTGGATGAAAAAATAACACTGTGGAGCCTTCAATCAGTGCCTGCAGTCTCAGCACAGAAGGGGAAACACTCACGCCTGAGAAGAAATTTCATGATAACACTTGAAATGAAATCAGTGGATGATTAAGTCAACAGATGCAAGTTATTTGTGTCAGCAGCAATAACGTTAAGTGCTCCTTTAAATGCTGAAATTGCAGTTGCTGCTAAAATTCCCTTATGGGCCTTCAGTCTGTCTTTTGTTGCGTTTAGAAACCTCTTTTATGGTGAAACAGCTGTATGTGGACTTTAAAACTTCAGAGGCACATGAACAAGATGTTGTGATAAAGTGAATGTGTTTGTAACACTTCTCTTCCTCAGAGGACACATGTTTGTGGGTCTGCTGATTTGTGGAGTTGTCATAAACATCTTACACAACATCATTTTCACGACTCTTTGTCTCTGCGAGGCAGGAGGTGCTAGTTTCTACTTTCTATTGTTCAGCCTCACTTACTATTTCCAATGCCTCATTTTCTCACTATTGGTAAGTATCAGGAGTTAAAGTTTCTCTTTTTCAAGAGTTTTTTCATGAATGCAGAGCTAGCTTATCGCCAAAGAAAAGCAAAAGCAAACAAAAACAAAATCATTCTGGGATATGTTCTGTTTAACTACAACGCTAAAATGGGATCAACTACAACTAACTCCACAAAGTAGATCTGTATGTTCGAAAGCCTGTACGTTGTGGCCATCTGGGACACATTCTCAGTTTGATTTAAGAATTATCACACTTTATGTCTACTGTGTGTCTAAGCAGCTTCCAGTGGTGTTTAGTTGTTTCTGTTGTTGAACCGTAAAAACTAAACAGACCAACGATTAAAAAACACAGTATAGGTCTCCTGGACATCCATGATGGAAGGGTACACCCCAAACCTCCCCCCCACACTTCCTGCACCCAAAGCTCCGCCTCATAGAGCGGCCACTGAAACAGGTCTTCCTTAAAGTTATCCTCAACTCAAGGATTCATATGTCTCAGCACGTGGTTGATTTCTGTCCAGTCTTCTTTTTTTTTTGACATATCAGGATGCGCTCCTCAAAATGACTGATAACAGTTGTGAAAAAAAGAACAAGAACAAGATGTGCAACAAGGAGGAAAGAAATCAGGCTGCAGAGACAGAAGAATAAGATCCTTTCACACTCACATGAGTACACATTTGAATATTCACAGACACATTTTGCTTCTATTCCTCTTTGTCGTAGATCATTATATTCAAACATCAGTGGGCGAGAACGCCATCTGGACTTTCTGTTTGTAGGAAATAAAGTCGGAATAGGAAATTGACTCAAAAAACTTAAGAGCCACACCCAAAGTCACAAATGACCCTTTAATACGGCCAATTGTTGAACAAATTTTCCTACTAAACATTGAACACGTGCGGCTGTCTTAAACTTCAGAGCCTGTGTGTGTGTGTGTGTGTTACATAATGAAACTCTTGTTTTTTCGGTCTTAATTCCATCACCTAATTTGATCGTCACTGTGATTATAGCCATGACCATCCAGGGAATAACTAATTAAGCTTTATTTTTTTAAGAAATGGTGATCTATGTGTCAGAGTGGAATGCGTGCTCAAAGAAATCATGTGTCTTTGATATGAGAGATTGATTAGATTTCAAAGAAAGACAAATAAAAAGTTTACCATCTTGTCCTGAGTTCTGGAGATGTTCTATTAGGTCACAGCCGAACGCATTTTCACTTCCTTTCTTTTTGGACTTGAGCTTATTCCCTTTATTCTTCATGTGGCTCCAGTTAGTCGTCCAGATAATTAAAACAATGAGATTCCAGGTAACACGGTGATGGATCCATATGACCCCAAGAAAAGTCGAGTTTGTGGGTCCAATAAGAAAAGCAGCCGCATAGAAATCCCAACAATCAGCTCCCAAACGTCTGCATCCGCTCACAGTCTGACTTAACCACACGGTCTGTCAGAGGCTGAAAGCAGAAGTGACGTCACATTTTCAGCTTTAAGTCCTTTAGATACTCATAAGTTCAAGTGATGATAAAGAACATGAATGGTATGAGTGCTGCTTCGCCGGGACGTGGCAAACAGCTGCTTTATCTGGGTAGGATTTGCAGAAACAGCATTAGAGCCGGTCAGCTTCCTGTTGTTTTTTCACCCCCAGCCAGTCTCCCTCTCTCTGTGTTCCTTTTTATCTCCTCCTCTTTTCCTTCATTCCATACACAGTCTCCCCTTCACACTGGCTCCTCTGTAGCTGAGGACATACAAGTATACAAGAACCCCCCTTGATAAATCAGTACTTTTCCCCATTAAAAATCATCACTCCTTTTCCTTAAATATTTCCTCTTTTAGATATTTCACATTTTCTATGTGTAAGGATGAACTCGTGGCAGTGGTGAGGCAGGGATTTTTTAAAATGTTGAGACTATGTAAAGGGGAGGGAGATGAAGTGAAGGGAAGAGAACAGCTGACTTCTGTTTTCTCTCCTGGTTTGAGGAATTACTGACCTCTTTATAAAGATTTTTTTCATGCACCCAAACCAGGAGCTAACGGGAAAGCTTCTCTCTGCCTTCCTGAATGCTCCCTATGTATACAATTTCCTGTGCAAAGAGCCCGGGCTCGAAAACAAAAACAGACGGGTTCTGAAGGAAGAGGGAAGTGGGAGGTGACTTAAGTGAGGGCCTGAAGGGCACAGATGGGAAATGGGGGGATATTGGGGGGGTGAGGAGATGGACGACACACATGGTTCTCGTTACTGCTGTGCGTTACATAAAATTCTGTTTTTTAATGTGGTCTGAAACTTTACCATAAAGGCAAAATCAATTACTGCATCAAATGTGAAGCTCTGACATTAGTTTTGCGAAGTAAAGAAGTTTTCATCCAGTGCTGCAAGTAACAATGCTACTTCCTGTCCTGCCTAAATATAATCCATGTGGAACCTGACTCCCAAAGTAAAATAGTAGAAATATACAGAGGAGAAATGATGTATCCCCTATTGTTGTTCTAACATAAAATATCAAAACTACATCTCCAATATTTATGATGACAATCTGTTTCGGCAATTCAAAGTGCTTCACACAAAACGTTAAAACATCATGGCAGAGGGAACCTCAAAAGAGAACATATAAAGATATCATATAAATATCAATTAACATACCAAAACAAGTCATTTAAAATCAAAGCAAAGAAAAAATAAAAGCAGCACTTAAATTAACAGTTAATCATGACTTTAAAGGTTCAGTGGCTTCAGTACAGTGATGCTAATACAGTATAGCTCCCATCCCTTTCTGTCGGTACATCTTAAGATAAAATAATACTTTTGTAGCACAGATACAGTCGGAGTAGGAGCTATCCAAAAATGGTAAATAAAAATCAAGTCTAGTAAGTGGTGTATACATCTGTTGTATAATATAGGTATAAATAAATGAGAGTTACAGAGTTATATGGCAGCCGGCAGAGGTTTGTGTGTAGTATGATCTTACTACCTGTTATCAGTTGGCTTGGATTTCGCAGTCTAGTGTGTGTTTTGCTCTTAGCTGTTTGGTTTGTTCCCAGAGGTGTAGTATCAACAGATTTTTGATTGTCAGTACACAGAGTATAGAAGCCATTTTTTAGTTTATGTGAGGATTTTAAAGTAAAGGTTTCAGTTTGGATGATTGACCAAAGTTTATGTAGATATATGGTTTAAGGATATTCAGTTGGGTTGTAGATTCATCTATGGCTGTGTCTGGAAAATGTTTGGTCATGGGTGGAGTCGTAATCTTGTAGGTCAGCCAGCACAGGTGTACAGGGTAGTCCTTTGTTTGGTCCAGGTTGAGATGAGCAGTACACAAAATGTTTTTTGACTGTGAAATGTGAGCTAAATTGAACTCCTTTTTTTGATATTTTGTTTTGTTTTTGAATGGTGAGCTCAATGGGATCCACATCTGTCAAATAGAACAGCCACAGATCTGTGAGTATTGGACTCATTTTATGAATGGAAGTGGACACGCATCAGTACATCAGTAAGGCTTGTTTCATAGAAGTGGCTTTTAAAACTGTTTAAGGAGAAATCTGCCACTACACACAGAAACAATAAAAGCCAGTGGATTAAAAAGAGTGCTGTATAAAAGTATATCAGATTAGAAAGATGTTAATTTAACTTTTTTTTCCAACTCTGAGACAAAAACTGAGTGCGTAGTTGAAACAAGTTATGATACAAATTAAAAATAAAATTTTAAGTTTCAAAGCAAATATTTTGCTACGTTGCTCATCCCAAAAAATACAGAGCAACATTGTTGTAAATATGAAGTCTCTACCAGATAAATGGAAATATTTTTCTTGTCCATCTTTTGGATTCATCTTTTGGCTCTTTTGCTTTTCAATACTTTGTTACACTCATGAGATACTTCTGTATTTGGAGTTTATTGCCTTGCGTGTATAGCGTTTGCTGAATTTTTCAAATTTCAATTGCTACAACAGCTGTCTGCTGCAACCTTTGGATATGAGTGAATAAAACTTTGAAACAGCAGGTTAGAAACCTTTAACAATCACAGTAAGACTGAAGCACCCAGATGAAACTCCTGGAAGTGCTTTCAGAAATATTCCAGTAATATTATCTTTAAAACTGTAACAACTCAAAGAAAGACATCCTTCTCCAAACAATACTGCTCTCCTTACTGTTGTAAATAAAGACATGTGATCATCCAGCTCGTACGTACTTACACTCAACAAAAGTGTTTACAAGTAGTAACAATATACAACACATCGTACACTGATGGCACATTTTTCCATATCTGAATGGAATGGTTTGTTGAGTAGATCAGAGTGTGCTGGCGTGCAGAGTTCATATTTTTGTGTCGAGTGTTTTCTGAATGTCACATGTGAGCTACATGACCAGGCCAGGCCTCTGTGAGACAAAGCTTTCTTTCTGCACCATAGGAAGAGGAGATAGATGACATCATTCTGTCCATACAAAGCCTCACTCCTCAGTGCTGTTAAAAAAAAGAAAGAAAGAAAGGAGAAAAAAAAGAGGGTCCACACTGAGAAGTCATGTCATTGTATCTGAATAATAAGGGGTTATTCTTATCTTTGGGGCTTGCCCTCCACGTCCTCCCTGTGATGCAATGTCTTGGTGGATCTGCGGAATAATTTAGCATGTGCTAAATGCCAGCAAGCGGAAGTTATGTAATAATAATAACAGAGCGCAGATAAAATTATATTATATAAAATATTTTTTAAATGAAGTTAATGATTAATATACAGCCTTATTCTCTGAGAGAGTGAAGGACTGGACTATCAGTATATATATTTTTCAAATGCCAGATGTACGATCAGCTAGGAATCTTATGTCTGAATAGAACAGGCCCATTATGTTGGGAAACTAAAAAAATTATTAATGAATGAAAATTACAATCTGTAAATTGGATTCCAGTTATCCTTTGTGGTATATTTGGTGAATTTGAATAGATTTATCAGTTTGCTTGTATATTTATATGTGTCTGTCACAGTTATGAGTATTCTGTACTTCATGCCTTTGCTGCCGTTATGTGATTCATACCTCTCATCCCACCACAAATGTGGCAGTAACAGACTTTGTGTGTAAGATGTACACATCCAAGCTCTCATACAATTACACCACCTTTACAATAACTTAACCTCTAGTATCTGTGCATTCACAGACACGTCCTGGTGAAACCGTGCTGGTAAATGACTGAATAAGAGACAGTTTTTTCTTCTCATTTGGTGTAACATCTGAAAACACTGGAATTCTTATGTTCATGTTTCTCTCATGATGCATTGAGCTTTGTTTTTCACAATACCATTGCAATCAAATAAACAAATAAACTATCTTCAATTGTTTTGCAGTTCAAGTTTGTTTATGAGGCAAGTTTTACAAGTTAAAATGCAAGACATGAGGTTTCTCTCAAAATGTTGTCCATGTGTTGGTGATTGTGCTTTTAGGGACCTCCTCAGGTGAAACCTATGAACTGCAGGGTAGAAAATGGAAATACCATCTTCATTCAGCGACAGTCTTATGAGTGTTTTGTCCATCAATACAGAGAAACTTTTAAAGAGCTGAATCTTCCACAAGGTTGCACTCAAAATAGACTGATTTTCACAGATAAAAATGCTGCCATGTTGTTCAAAATTGCTTTTCTTTTCACAAAATCAAAGAACATAATGAGTTACATTCAAGTATATATAAGTCAAAACAAGGATTTTGAATGTTGTCTTAAATTCTTTAACACAAAACAGAACAGCAGTTCATAAGAAAAATACCATTTATTGAACAGATTTCTAAAGAAAAACTTATCTTGTTACAATTGACAGAATAAATCAGTCTCCCTTTATGTCATGGCCTCGATTTCCCAACTACCAAAACAAAATATGACAAATCATCCACAATCAAATCATAAATGTTCATGAATCATTCTGAAATGATATTCTCACTGGATTAATATGGCATCACTTTGAATTCCAGACAATGATTCACAGAAATTAAAAAATTCAAAAGAAAAATGTCAGTTATTTTACTCAATGCTACAAAGTTTTTTTCATCCCCGACCACAGAAAGTCATTTAGATAAGTTTAATTTCAACAATTATACATGGAAAAGACTCCAACCCACTTTAAAAAACAAAGAAAAAATAAATTAAAAAATCAAAAACAATGCTTAAACATTCGTTCAGGAGTGGAGATTGGGCCATAAAATGGAAGGATGTTCAGGCCACAATCAAACAGCTAAACTTCTTTTTAAATGTGTGTTTTTAACAACACAAACTATTCTTAAAGCTTAGCAAAGGCAACAACTCACTAGCCTGGCTGGGCCATCCAGTTACGTGAATCACTTGCCATTCCTTCCCTTGTTGTGGGAAGGAACGGCAAGTGATTCACGCAAATGGATGGCCCAGCCAGGCTTACAACTCACTGCAGCTTTCTTTGTTTGTTCAATTTAATTGACACAAGGCCAACATGTTTGTAATCACATACGCTTATTATTTAATGAGGTGTGGCTCAATTAAAATGTAATCATGTTTGTTCTTGTACTTAGCAATATTGCCTGTTGTTGAAAGTTGTTGGCTTCTAAGGTAAAGGTAACAAAAGGTTGTAGTCATAACGAATCAGCTGCTACACTATCTCCACACTCTAAAAACTGATATGAATGTAGCAGACAAAAGTTTCTAGGAAGCATGCATTGATAAAAGCACAAGTATGCAGAGATCTCTGCTCTTAACCCCCCCTAACATATTTGACAATAGTACAGAAATGTCTCACTGTTTGGTTTCAAAGACTAAAAGTTAGCATTCTAAAAGTATGAAAGTAATAAATAAGAACCCCATCTTAAAAATAAACCACGTAAGGCCTGAAAACATGCACTCTACAAGATCACATCCTATCATTATGGCTTACAAAACTACTTACATTGTTAATTTAAATTTTAAGTTCTGATATAAAAAGGAGATAAACTTGGCCCGAGGCAGCACAAGCTTTTCTTTTCAGAGAAGCGAGTGATTTAAAGTGCCAACAGCAGGAAAAATTATCCAGCCTAAACCTTCTTATAACCTTTGACAGCGGATATTTTGACACATCACACCAGGAAATCTGCAAGTGTACCTTGTGAGATTAACAAAGTTGTATTTCATATACTGTAAGTAAACCAGTTCAAGGTTCATATGAAACACTGACCATGTTTACACAGGAATGATACTGACCCTGTGAAAAGGATCAGCAGTCAAACTAATTCACAGAACACCCTGTCCATGATATGATTTGGCCCACTATGTTATTATTGCTTTTAAATTATTCTTGTTTTTCCTCTTTTTTCACAAACGGTTCATTTGATGCATCTTAAGTTACTATGGTTATTCTTTCGATTCACAAACTGATTAATAAAGAGCTGAAACAGTACCATTAGGTTTTTCATGGGGAGACCAGAGTATTTTTTAGCATTTTAATAAAATGATAAATACTTCTGCATTGTCTTCAGAAAAGAACTGTTCCTTTGTACCATAAGATGAAAGTCTATGGTTGTCTTATTTCTGTTTCTGTAAAGTAATGGCCATAGCATCAGGAGATACAGATGCATTTTAGCTGAAAAAAAAAGAAAAAAAATTGCTCCGATGTGCATACTTTAAAGTCTGTTACATATGTAAATTAATTCAGATTGATTCACAGCTCACTAATGTTGTCAAAGGTGATTTTTGTTGGTGTTAGCCTCAAAACTCAATTAAATCAGCTGTGTCAAATGATAAACATGATTGCTTTTAAATAGGTTTTGAAAGTTGGCTGTAGGCGGCATTAAATCACCAAAAAAGGAAAGAAAAAAATGCTGTAAAAGAGTGTATATATAACTGTTTCAGATCAAGTCAGTTTGTGTTACACATGACTGCCCGTTGTCTACAATTTATTATTATCTATGTCAATAAAACGCTCTACTAAGCTGCTAACTTGAACTAATCACTCCCCATTAGTTCAAGTTTAAAGACTTTGCACACATACAGACATGGTCTCAGTTATCTAGCTTATCAGGCTTATAAGGTCAAAATTAAGATAATCAAATAGTGTTCATTACTATTTACTTAAAGTCCTGTCTGGAACAAGTGTAATAGTAGTGTGAGATGTTGTTTATCAGTCAATTGATCTCAGTCTGTAGCTCCTGCAGACCTGAGGTTTAATTATGCAAAATAAGTGGCAACTCCTGTGTCTGTGGTCAACGCATCCACACACTGAAGCACACAAAATGCACATTTTCCACAAGAATCTGCAATTTCAAAGCCAACTTGTGTAATTCCAGCAAATAATAAGGCATATTTTTAAATAAAATGAAATATAAGAGTTGGATTTTTAACCCATACATTTAAGTATGAAGAATATTTACAGGACAGCAACATGCACTTCTTTATAGATGATTTGTTAAAGCAACCTGTCAGCAACACAAAGAAATAAAGGCAACAAGATATGGAAAAATAATGTGCAAAAATGTAGTGCCAACTGAGCTTTGCTTAAATCAACAGAGCCAATGTGCATTTTGTGTGCTTAACATGGTGTCTTAAACACATGTAGTAGCTTTTCCACACTCAAGTCTCCCAAACATACTATATAAAATATATCAAAATGTTTTTTTGGTCACAGCTTGGCTTACTTTTTGAAATCCGAACTCTATGGCTTGCCAATGTCCACAGTTACATTCACATAAAGAGGCAGCTTCTGTGTTGACAGAGTTTTATAAGAGCAGCTGTTAAGTCCATCCTTTCTCCATACCTGTGGCGTTCGTCCCAACAACCTCATCCTGACAAACAAAAAAGATGATTTAAGAAAATAATTTTGCAATACAAATCAGAGTGTATTCTTATCATTTCTCAATAAGCTGAAGAGCTTTATACAGAACTGTCAATTCAGCATATACTGACCTGTCTTTGTTAATTTGATTGCCACTGTCCCTTTTGTGGAACACCATGGTATACCGAGCAATGTCAGCTGGCGGCCGCGTAATTTTCATTTTCTGCAGCTCAACCCTGCTCAAGACAGCAAAAACCACATTTATCAATTCATAAAGACAGGAACATATACCTCATGTGTTTTAGACGTGATGAAGGGGAACGAGGTTTTTGTTTATGACTGTTTACACTCCCACTCTCCCACCTGATGCGAAGGTCATCATCTTCTCCACCCCAACCCCAGTAAGTGTTTGAGAATCCATTCACTTTAAGGAACTGCTCTTTGGTCATAGCTGTGACTCCTCCAAAGTAGCCTTTGTATCGCAACCTGGAAGAATATGAAAAATGAGATTACACTTCAGTTCAAAAGATCTATCATAAACTTACAACTGATGTGGCAAGCCTGAGTAATCCTCTGTTCACTAGTACTTCAATGTTAATTTACAAGGTTGATAAAAAGTCTCACCACTCTCATAAGTAACTCAAACTCAGAAACTTACTTGTATCCAGTTGCATTTCGACCAACCACTAAGTGTTTGGGCTGGTTGTCACAGACATATAAATTATGATCATTTTCAGGAACCAGGTCCACGTCATGAAAAATGAAGCACTCCCAACTGTAGTCCTTCAACGCCTCCAAGTACCCGACATTTAGTAACTTGGCACGGTTAAAAGTTGCATCACCAGCCTTAGGAAAAAAAAGAAAAGACAGTTAAGAAGAAAAAACCTCCTAATTTGTATTTTTTTCTTTCAGAATGACAGGACTTAACAGGAAATGATTTCAGAGACCGTTTCCAAATGATGTCAATTTTAAATACAAAATGGTTACTAATGCTCACCACTCTACCAGAATAAAGCCTAAAACTTAAAATGAAAATTATGCGACATTGAACTGTGCACTACCTGCTGTATAACATAAATGGCATAATGCAGCTGCTGCCTCTGCAGAAATGGGTGCAGGTGGTGCAAGAGGTAGAGGAGGTGTTTCTCTCTGCTGCGGTGAGGGATAAGGATTGCCACGCTCTGCCTTGCTGTGCAGTCTGCAGGCTCATACTCGCCCTTTGACACTCTTGTGTTGTCGCTCTCCACATCCTCCAGTTTCAGAGAGGACTCAAAGGACAGCTTCATGGCTCCCTCTACAGAAGAGTCAGATATCAACAAATGAGCTGAGCCATGAGTGCTGTTTGTAACACAGTAGGCAGATAATTCACCAGCAAAAAAGAGATTTAAATGACAAAATGTATTTAGATTATAAAACTTTTTCCCTGCTTTATTTAACTTGTATAAAATAGAAACATATTGCACTTGAAAAGAACGATATAAAGATACTTCGATAATGTAGTACAGTCCTGATAGAAACTGGACTTAAACAGCCCTTTAGCTGTGAGTTTTTAAGAGACTGAAGGAGTCAGTGTTGAGGAAATGAATTAATGGATATAAACATTCACAAATCCTTTTCCAGTTGACCCCCTTTGTAATTTCTGTGAAAACTTACTTAGCAAAGTAGGCAGATAATTCACCAGCAAAAAGGAGATTCAAATGACAAAATGTATTTAGATTATAAAACTTTTTTCCTGCTTTATTTAACGTGTATAAAATAGAAACAAATTGCACTTGAAAAGAACAATTTAAAGATACTTCGATAATGTAGTACAGTCCTGATAGAAACTGGATTTAAACAGCCCTTTAGCTGTGAGTTTTAAGAGACTGAAGGAGTCAGTGTTGAGGAAATAAATTAATGAATTTTAACATTCACAAATTCTTTTCCAGTTGACCCCCTTTGTAATTTCTGTGAAAACTTACTTAGCAAAGGTGACTCCTCTGGGCATTTGACTTTGGGTGTTGGAGTGTTGAGGTTCTGAGGTGCAGCTGTCTTCGAAGAATGAAGTTGGTCCCTCAGGCTGTCCCCGTGGACAGGAGTCTGTTTTGTGGTCAAGGCATTCTGACCAAATTTAAGTGTTTCCCCTGAAAATGTCGCAATCCAAGCCAGCACTGACAGCGAGACAAGGATCAGTATAAAATACTTTCCTCTCCGCAAAATCTTGAACACAGGTGAGCACAAGCCCATGGCTGTCTGAGTGCTCTGGTCTGACACAGAGAGTATGGAAACTGTAGCTCCTGTTGGTTGATGTTTACAATATTTCCTCCTTGCGGGACATTACAGCCAAAATACCAACATCAACAGTTTCACCAACTAATCATCCCATCGTCAGGAAACATCCCATTGCATGCAGTGACTAAAACACTGTTAAATATGAAACTTATTGGTGAAAATCCATCGTTGAACCCTCAAAATCCTGTTTCAAGAGGTGTTGGCAACATCTTCTGCTCTCCAACAGCTGGTTGAGATCAAGAGAGAGAGAGGAAACAATGTTACAGCCTTATACAAGTATTGGCATATTTGCAAAAGGTTTATTAACATCATACTGCCACGCCCCATTCTGTAAACACTCCAATGACAAGCAACAGACCATGACAGTCATCAAGTTTCTTCTTTTCATGTATCTCTTGCCTTTACTTAAGTGTCCAGAGCCATTTATTCTGTCACACACATTTGAAAGGACTTCCTGAAAGGTCATCTTACACCCAACAATGACACACCTATCTTTTTCTGTGCCTTTCTCACAAACTGTAGTGTCACATTGCAGAACTGCTTGGTTTCACTCCTCTTTACTCATGCTTTTAATTGATCAAACATGGAAGAGCTTTGGTTTTTGACCACAAATTTATATACTAATCAGATTTTAACACTTTAATGCCTGAAACCACAAATTATGGCAAGAAAATTCAAAATTCTTTTGGAGCTGAAATGTTTATTTCACTTACTACTGAAAACCAAAAAAAAATAATAATAATCAAAAAGTCCTTAAAATTTAACAGATATATTTATTTATCTTGTTTGATACATTAGATTTTTTTGGAAACTGATAAACAACAAGAGGACATGTTTATCATTTATTGGACTGTATTCAGGTGGGTTTTTTTTTTAGTGATTTATTGATCATATTGATTTGATAGAGGTATCATAAAAGTATCAAATATGATACAAAAGGCGATAAAGGACTACATGGCCTTTAAATGCCAGTGAACGGTGAGACATATCCAGCTCATGTATGAAAGTTTACTACATATTGATGGGGCTACTAGGCAATGTAATGCACTCCAATACAACAAGTCTTGTATACGCTGTACTTTCAGATAGATTCTAAAATTTTATTTGTTGACATGGCTATATGTTGACATAATTGGGCAGGTGATTATTGTAATTTATTATTGGAGTGAGTCATAGTGAAAGGTGATATCTTATCTGCGGCATTCTCAATTATGGAGGGGGGCAGAATAGTATACGCCACCTTTCAATATAATGCACTCCAGGAAGCCACTTCAAATTCAACAATTAACTCAAAGAGACCATGTCAACAAAAATTGAAAAAGTATGTCATTTCTAAGACTTTATTTTAAGGTAGAGCTGCTGTCTTGGGTATTTCATTACACTGTCCAGGTTTTTTCACAGTGCAATGGTGGCTCGTCGTTTTGGCACAATTGAGAACACAACCAATAAACAAATTATAAAACAAGATAAAAATAACTCCTAAAAGACACTTAATCCAGGTTTACAGACCAGTGACCTTTAATGATAACCAGCAGTCCTTGTCGAAAGACACCGATAGCAGCAGAGTTTCTCGTGTATTTGATGCTGTCTGAATACGTGTGGATAAAAATATACATTTGCAGGTATATCAAGTATAACTCGTCGTTGTTGCATTGTTGTTGTCAGATCTCTCTTTTATAAATTTTGTGAAAGTTAGGGTCTAATATCTGGAGCTAGTTAAAGTTCCCCTGGTCCTCTATAAACCCTGAGGGCTGACGTTAGTTTGGTACACCGAGCTAAGTTAGCCGACCATGGCTGAGCACACACGTTTGTGTTGTCTACCATTATTCCTCAGACCCGACACTGCTCTGAAAATGAGGATACCTTCGACATTTTCCCTTAAAGTGCTCCTAAAACAGGGTCTAAAAACAGATGAACAGTCCTAGCGGTTAGCAGTTAGCCCACCGAAGAAGAATGCGGATGTATCACATTATACAGTTAAAGTGCTTTAATATATCACCACCCGCAGCTACACTAAAAGGTGCCAAAATAACGAACATTTCTATTACAGTGAAAAGAAAAAATGTCTTTTCCTCATGAAAGAGGGAATAACTGCGATGTTAGCTGGCGCATCTTACCTTCCGAAGTAACGGCATCCATGTATCAATAAACGAGATCAGTGCGTTAAGTTAACGGAAACAGACCGTTTCTCTTCAGGAAGTGAGTCAAATAAAAGACCAAAGTGTGAGTGGAATTTATATCAAACGTGGACGATACGATGAAAATTAAAACGTATCATTGCAAAGAATGCAAAACGTAATGCAAAATACTCAAATGTCATTTCTTTTAGAAGATATTCTTGATTACCAAACTTGCTCGTTTAAATCCAGACCACTGTGTTTACCTTACATCTATCTAAATATTGCAATTAAATTACCAAGTACATTTCCCATTACAACATAGATTAAAAAATATTTATTGATATGTCATCTCAAAATTATGTCCTTATTAATATGTACTTTTCTGATATAAACGTACAGCCTAATTATCACGTTTTTTTCAAATTACCAGGCAAACATATTTAACTGCCTGTATTGCAAATTATTGTCCCAAACCTTTTTGCAGTAACTCAAGTTAATTATTCACGAACACATAAAGGATTTCAAAGTGCCTTTAGTAAAAACTTATTTGTTCCAATCAATCGGTATTGTCTGTAAGTAAGATTCTGTGGCTATAAAAGAGCAGAAATGTTTTATTTTAGCTTACTACCAAGCGAGATGGAACAGGCTATCCAACGATTATTATTATCAATATTATTCTTATTTTATTTCACAAAGTAGACCATTATGTAAGGGTGTCTGTAGTTGTAGATGAAATCTGTTTGAATCCAAGGGATTCACGTAACCACCCTGTTTGTTGATTTTGTTGTGAAGGTTGCATTAACAAACCGGAAGTAGTGTCTTTTACTGGAGGGTATTAACAAAGGTTTTGGCATTGCTATACAAAGTGAACGCCCCTTTTTCCAGAAAGGCATGCACAGAAACGACAAATATGATTTCGTGATAAGATGCAAAGTCAAGCATACAAACTAGCCCCTTAAACACAATAGAGAACAAAGTGAGAGTCTTAAAAAGTAACATTTGAAGATGAGTTTCATTTTTCTCAAATTTACACGTACACATTTATTATGAAGTCTTAATGGGATTTAACTTGTTCTCTTTTGACTTCTATAAGGTAATGGCTGCAGCAACATACATTCCCATCATGCTCTGTGTTGTAGTAAGTTTGTCTAATATGTGTTTCACTACAGATCAGAAATAGATAACATGCTGAGCTCCACTGACTCTAAGGATAAAGGTCTCCTCGCTCTGCTTACACAGGAGGTGGTTGTCCAGCTGTTCCTCACTCAGCTTCAGGTCAGCCATAACACTGAATTTCTCAGCATGGTATCCTCCTGTTGATAGACATGGGAGGTCCAGCACTCTTCTAACTTTTAACCCAGTTCTCCTTTTTTTTGACTCAATTGCTGCTGTGATTTTCTCCTTTGGGAGTTTCCCCATACAAATGAAATCCATGAAATTTTAGAGTGAAACAGAAATAGCTGGAATAACATATAAGTCGTTGTTTGTTCTGTATGATGTCACTCTACATCATTTGTTTTAATTATTCTTATTATTGGTATCTTACATGAAATACACTGAAATTAGCTCTTTTTTTAAAACTTTATCCTTAAGTTCACTGGAGTTTTTTTAGTACCGTATCTATATCTATATCAAGAGTGGGAATGAGGTTAGCTGATGCTGAAAACATGAACAGTAATTAGTCTGAAAAGTTATTAGTTGTGTTTCTCTTGATAATGTTGTCCAACTATAGGTCTTAATGTAGAAGGAACACTTTCAGAGTGAGAACAAACACTGTCTGATAAGTATTTACCTTCTCATCTGTTTTCTCATTTGTCTGTTGAGTGAAAGCAGAAGTTTAAATAAATTTTCTGCTGTGTAATTTTAATCAAACTTTGAATCACAAATAAAATTTGACTGATATATTCATCACACGCAGGCTTTCCACTTTCATGCTATTTGTTGTTTTATTCTTCTTTCTTTTGCTGCATGGGCCAACTTTTTTTTCTTCTGGAGATACCTCTTAGTATCTTTTGAGGACCAAATCAGACACAGTGGAATAAACATACTTCTTCATTGTGTCCCTCTCCTCCTACACCTCCTCCACACCAAGGGGGACAGGACTGAGTTCTGTGGGTCTACTGTGAGAGTGACATTAACATGTGAGATTGGCCTTCACTGTTTGCAGTTGTCAGAGACTTGTGATGAGCAAGCTGCTAGCAAAGTAAGTTTCTTGAACAAATTGTTCAGAGATTTTATGGCTGTGAAAGATTTGATATCTTTTGTTAAAAGACTGGAAAACTAATGAAGTATATCTTAGCTAATAAAACATGATTGTTCACGGAGACAATTTAAGTAATGTAAGATTAACAAGCTCAATCAGACATTAAAAAACTATTAAAAAATATAATATTGGGAGATTTTTTCCACAAGTTCTCAGTTTGTTGTTGTAAAAGGAAGCTGATCAGAGTAAGAAACTGTTTCTTGTGAGGCAAACATACAGTACATATCGACATTATCACTGTGTAAATTTAGTCCAAATTTTTACTGTGGTAAATTAGTTGAATTTTTGTCCTTTTCAGTGTTGCTTGTCACACTGTTTAAAGACAATCCAAAGGAGGTGGTATGATTTTGTCATTGTTTTTTTTTATAGTTAAACCTCCACTTCTTTTATTGTCTTGTGATCAACCTTAAATACAACATATACCCTAAGAATGGAACGCTTTTGGACATCCTGTAATTGTGTGTTTACAGTGTGACTCACACATCCTGTAGTCTCACTCTTTCGTTTTGAGACCAAGGGCTGTTCTGTGGTCAAAGTTTTCCAGGTTACCAGGCAGGCCTTTGTGCTGAATACAATGTGCTAATCTGTTTATCGGTTTCCACGTACAGACAGACAGACCAACAGACAGACTTAAGCTGTATAAAAGGTGAGTGTCACTATACAAAAAATTAAACATTTGGAGGTTCCAAAATGATGTGTTTAATTGTACAAAATAAAATATTACTGGATGAAGTCTAATTGTAAATGAGAGCCATACTGAAAATGGTAAGTATCACAGCATTCATTTATACTACAGCATACAGTATATAATAAGACTGACTTTGTTTCCACCTAGTTAAATGACATCTGATACAACAATGCAAGGAAAACAAGAATAAGAAAAGACTATGTTAAATGCATTTTAAAATAAAGTCCAAAATGCATCTTTCTAATGGGATAGATGAAGATGGCAGATCCATATACAGGCTTTCACATCAGAGAGCTCCTCCTTGATTCTTCAAAACTCAAGGACAGAGTAACTGTTCCACTGCCAAAGCTCACTCTGGGCTTATGCTTTCCTGCGTCGCAGTTGGTGCCGTTGGTCTTGAGGCTGATAGATGAGGATGGAGACGAGGTAGAAGATCCACCAATGCTGCTGGATTTTTTCCTTGCAGCTGAGTTGTGTTTTAGCGTAGCTTTTGCAGCCACTTTGAAAGCATGCGCAGCAGTGCTGCATCTGACTTCCTCAATGGTGTTCCTGCAAGGTTTGAAGAGGATGATGTAGACCTTGTTAAAGAAGATGCAGGCAAGCATCCCAAAGCTGGAAGCCAGGATGGCAATGACCTCAACAGCTGACACAAACTTTCCGTAAGTACTGAAGTACGCAGGAATAAAAGAGATCCAAACAATAAAGAAAATGAGCATGCTGAATGTGATGAACTTGGCCTCTGTGAAGTTCTCGGGAAGTTTGCGTGATTTGAAAGCAAAGAAGAAGCATATAGCAGCTAGGAGGCACGTGTAGCCAATAAGAAACCCAAGTGCCATCACAGAGCCCTCATTGCAGGTGATAAAAATCATTTCATCGATGTCATAGTTCTTGTAGCTGGAAGGAGGTGCATTGTAAAGCCAGACCACACATATCATAACTTGGACAAATGTGCACAGAAATACCAACAAAAACTGCAGGTTTAATCCCCACCATTTACGATGGAGGCTTGTGGGGATCTTTGCTTCAAATACCAGAAGAACTCTGTTAGTTTTCACAAGGATGCAGGAGATACAAAGGACGAAACTGATACCAAAAGCAGGTTGGCGTAAACGACAAGTCCAATCCTGTGGCTCTCCGATGAAGATGAGCGAGCTGGAGAAGCAACAAATAAGAGAGAACAGGAGCACATAGGACAGTTCTCGGTTTGTGGCCTTCACTATTGGGGTGTTGCGAAATTTGACAAAGACTCCCATCACAAAGGCTGTCAGGACAACACCCACTACCGCGCATATTGCCAAAGCTATCCCAAATGGCTCTGTCCATGAGAGAAATTCAATTTCCTTCAGGAAGCAGAATGTGTGATTTCCATTGGACCAGGAATTATTTGGGCACTTGTTGCAAACGCTGGCATCTGAGTTAAAAAAAGATAAATTGAGGTTAGAGCAGCAGTAATAGCAGTAAATGTGAAACTATAAATGTTTGGAGTCTTGATACCTTTATGAATACTGTACTCTCCATCTGAGCACTCAGTGCATTCAAAGCAGCATGTGGGCATACTGTCAATGATCCCTTTCCTTGTACCAGGTTCACAGTCCTCACTGCAGTTAGAGAATGGCACCTATAGAAATAGACAAGAAAGATACCATGTATTTATTGGACAAACTTTGTGTGTTACTGTCACAACTTGCATTAATGGTTGGAAATGATCAAACACTTTTCTTTGAAGGTAGTCAACACCAAGGCAGACACAAGTATAGAGTGATTTTTTCCCCTTCATGACAATAAACATGGGGCAATAACAGTATGACATTGTTGAGATTATGGGTACAACTGCTGCCCCCAAGTGGACAATAAAATTATCTAGCTTCTTTTTCACACAGCTACCATTAATTCAGAAAACCGATCTGAGTGGACGTTTCTTGTGGGTAGAGTTTGACTGACCTCGGTGCTGTATCCATTCCACAGAATCTTTGTCTTGTCAATGAACAGTTTAGCACCTCTTTTGGTGTGCATGTTGTAGTATCCCACCTCCTCAAATACCACAGAGCCATCCTCAGCAGACCTGTGCCAGTTTATAAGTGTGTAGTTTGCCCCCAGGTCTGCATTCTCGCCAAAGTTGACCTTTTCACCCATACTGTTGGTGTAGTTTAAATGTCTGAGCTGCTTCAGGGCCTGTGACAAAAAAAAAAACAGACGTTTAAAAAAAAATCTAAGTTATGGATGATCAGATACTTTGTTTCAGGATGAATGTGCAATACTTTACCTGCCATGCTTCTATTTTCTTTATATCTGCACAAGAATTGTTGGCAAAAAGTCCCTTCCCAGGTGTGCAGGTAAGTATGTCTTGCAGGGCCTGTGCAATGGAATAAACTGCAACATACACATTATAAGAAATCCGAAGATGTGTGTGGTCAAGATAGGGGGTCTCAACACTTGTGATGTCTTCATCACCAGTACACAAAGGCCTGAAACTTGTGCTGCCATTTTCACTTTCCTGCAAGCGGGGGCTATCTTCCAGATAACAGTTGAATGTTTCTTCCCAGAACTCTCTGACAAACTCGTTGTGGCTGTCTTTCTTGGGTTGGACTTGTTGCAGGAACTCTCTAAAGCCAGGTATGTTCCCTGCCTTTAGAGCAAAGCCAATGGTTCCTGCTACAACATCAAGATACTCAGGTTTAGCAATAAGAGAGGAGCTCGCCCACGCTTCACTGGCTAGCCAGATGCGATCTGTTATATTTCTCTTGACCATCTCTTTGATTAAAGGTTCGATATCTGGTCCACCAGCAAACACTACAATGACCTTGGCTGAAGAGTTTTCAATCCGGTCAGCCAAAGCTTTGATTTCATGTTCCTCAAAGTACTGAGAAATAAGCTCATTCAGGTGAATGCAGATGTCTCGCTCCTCCATTTCCTTCTCAAACTTTTCAATCCCTGGTCGTCCATAGTCATCGTCTGAGGCCACAGCAATGACCCAGTTCCACTGGAAGTACTCGATGATGTCTGCCATTGCTGTGGCCTGGAACTCGTCGGTGGGAATGGTTCTCATGAAAGACTTGTACTGATTCTTGTTGCTCAGCAATCGACTGGAGGAGGCATAGCTGATCTGAAACATTAAAGATTGTAAGATCACAGTGTTGTTGTTCATTATCTGTTTTGAGTTTTAATTATTACATAAAACACACCATCTTATTTCAGAATGTGTCATTTTTGGTTGTCCCTGGCATAAACTTTTTTATTTATTTAACAGCTGCCATGTGATAGCTGAATTTGTGCTATAGCATCCAAGGCCAATTTCCTGTCTGGAAATTTATGTTAATTGTATTATACCATATTGGAACACATCATAACACTTAGCATGATCGCACATTATATGTTTTTGTATGGTAGACTTTTATATCAGTAAATATTAATATTGTATTGCATCTCATATATCCTATTGTATCATATCATGTCAGGTTATACTGTGTCATATTCTTTTGTATTTGTATAAAGGGTACTATCCACATTAATTAATTGCGTTTATAACTCAGTATACAAAGTTGCCATGACTTCTTGTCACGACTGAGTTGGGGTTGTTGATCTGGTATATGTTCAGCTACTCACTTGAGGAATGTAAAACAGTCCCAGTAGGTTTGCAACTGCAGTGGAGACCGCCGATCCAGCTGCTCCTACGACTGCAATGGTTGCTGGAATGTGATCAGTGCAGTTACAGAATTCATCTAAATTCAAGGAATCAATCTTATTCTGGGCCACAAAACTTAGTGTAGCTTCCAGGGCTTTGGACACTGTGTTGCATGTGTCAAAGATCCTGTAGCCCAGAGTGATGTTTGGCAGGAAAGTGCTGCTGTTGTTAATCTCATCGATGGCAAAAATCATAGCCTGGAGCCAACGGAAACCACGGAAGTTGAACCTGGGAAACAGACAAGATTTCAAATTGGACAAGTTGAGCTCATTCGTTCAGTGAAATCTTAAATTGTTCACCGTCTTCCCAACATACAAACTAATTTCAATTTTACCTGACACACTGAGTGGATTGAGGCCGGGCAGCGAGGTCTTGATCTTTGGACGCAACACCGAAGTGTATGGGGAAAAGACCTCCAAGCAGGATATCTCCAGTCATCTGAGCTCTCTGATGAGGTCCATAAGTTGAAATCACACAACTGGACCCCAGTAGTGTCAAATAATGTAGTATTAGCCTCATTTTGGTTGGACTGTGGTTGGACTATGTTTTTTAACCTCCAAGAGTAACTTCCTTCTCAGTATGATCTCTCCCCATTAATTTGCCAATCGGGCTGTTTTGAGTCAGTCATGTTTGCGCTGATGAGAACATCGGACTGTAGAAAAAATGAAAATAAATGTTTTTATATAACTTTTTGAAATGTCATATTAGACATCCCATATAATTTTGTTTCCCCAAGAGATATACACACATCCAAAAGGACACTTTTAAGAAAAATACCACAGCATAAGTTATGGACATGTAACATTGTGTGATACCATCAAATAAGCTTCCATCACCAGGCTCACTTTCCCATATAAACAGCACAAGGAGGTGTTAAAATGGTGTTAGAGGCCAACGTGACCTAAGGCTATTATAGCACACTCCAGAAGCACCACACAGTTACACAAGAACTTTCAGAGTTTTTCCTTTTTTGGGGGGCATATTTTTTGCAGTTCTGTGCTCAAGTAGAGGTAAAAAAAAAAAAGTTATACCTTTTGTAACATTAAGAGTTACACAGCATGAAATATACACCCAGAGTGAGATAGAAGCAGGATTTGCATGAGCTGAAAGTGAAGTCACACTCTAATAACCTCCCTTCCTGCAAGCGCTCAGTCTCATGCTGTGGCCACTGAACCCAGTCACCATGGAGAGAAGCCTTCAGCCCATCTGACTATTACTGCTGGAAAAATGCTGGAGCAGAGCTGTGATAATGGAGCAGCTAACAACTGCAAGAGCCGCTTTACATTCCCCGTCTTCTATTCTTTACATTTCCCTTTTTCTATTCTCAAAGATATATGTATTTTCTTTCTTTTTTTTTTTGACGAAAACATTGTTTAAAGTTTTATCCACAAGCGTCCACAAATCAGTGTAAAAACATTTATATAAATGTAATCCTCCTTTAGTCAACATTGTTTTTTATCATCAGAAAATACAGAGTTACATTAGAATAATTCAAACTACTAACAAATTGGTGGAAAGTGTATTAAAGACAATGTTACTGTATCAAATAAACTAACAAAATCAGCCAAGTATTTTAAACTAATTTTATCATTGGTTCCAATTTTCAGCCTTAACTAAAACAGTAAGAAGACTGAGATTCAAAGTTTTACAGTTTAACCATCAAAAAGATGCCAAAGAATCAGAATCAGACTTACCTCCTCCTGAACTCTGCAGTGGGATTTTAATTAAGTGTAACTTTTTTTTTTAGAAGTATAGACTGCTGTTGAGGCCTTTCTCTAAATTATCCAGGGACCGCAATGATTTAACTGAACAAAATCAGCTTCTGAGCCTCTCCATGCAGATAAATCATTAACAGAGAGGGGGCTAGTCCATTTCCTTCAGCTAATGAAGTCCTTACAGCTCACTCCTCCTCAGCTTTATTCTGGCTGAAGTGGAAAAAGAGAGAAAGAGAGGGTTGGGAAGGGTTCTTCAGCTGTAGTTATCTACTATTAACACAACATTACAGAAAAATAGTGTTTTTGTTACAACAGCTAGAAATGAAATGAAGGAGACAAGCTATGTATCCATCTTTGTCTAAAACTTTAAGGTATGTGTTTGTTTCTGTGTTACTACAAATATACCTTTGTAGCACAACATTTAATGAAGTTGTACCTTTGAACACTTCTCAAACATGTTTCAGGTTTGGTCTAATGTCATTTCATCAAATAAAATTACACTCTAGAACTAAAGTACATACAAATTAATGGGATTGTGTTTATTTTGCATGTGTCTGCATGTTGTTGACAGCCAGTGATCCGTTTTTATCCCCCCTCTGCCAGTAGAGCTGTAGAATGATACCAGGAACCCCTGGAAGCAGTGGATTGTACCATAATGTTCCTCAAACAATTAGCTGTCTTACCATGCCCCGATGGATGTTTAATCAATTTGTTGCTTAGCAGATGATACTAGTGAAAAGTATTTCACTTTACTACTTGTTGACTCATCTGTGGACCACCCAGACCAGATCAGAAATCAGCATTCAAGATTAAGTGTTGGATCTTTAAATGTTGCTAAATATAACTTTCTGAAGCGTCTGATTTATTTCAGTGAACTTTTATTCAGTTGGAAGGGCTTAATCATCAATAGTGAACTCATAAATCTGCATTATCAGCGCTGGTAACACCACCCTTATGTGGAGGATGAGGTCACAGGTTTATTCATTTAATCATTAATTTATTCTTAAATTTATTTATCTTTTGGGGCTTTTATGTCTTTATTCCGAGAGGATGAATCAGTATATAAGGCTGTAAACTGAGAGAGAGAGTGGGGAGTGAAATGCAGGAAAGGGGACACGGGTAACTTGGGTTTTCAAGGACCAAAGCCTCTGCACGCAGTGTGTGCAACTAACCACTAGGCCGAGCTGACGATGGTTTCTTTACATTTAGGATGTTTTGTGCAAAGATAGTGCTCCTCTTACAGAGTCCGGCTTGAATAAAATATCTGGAGCCTGAGTGAGAGGTGTCAAACTTTTGTTGATGTCCGATCACTCTGGACCTGGTGGCTCTGGGCATGGGCATTCAAATTCATGCAAGACGCAATTGGTGAAAACAACTCCTAATGAGGGAGCGGCATAAGATATCAAAGCTACTCACAGACATGACGAATCTGTTGTAAAATGTATGTGGTTGTTTGACGTGTCAGACTTGTCCTCAAATAAATCACCCTGTCGCTGTCTTTTTCAGAAATGGCACGTATGTTTGAAATGTAACATAATGTGTCAAAAAATGTTGAGCTGTGAGGAGTTCACAGGGAATGGATTTATCCTTATGGGGAGTCCTGGTCAGATCAAAACAGTCACACACAGGACGTGTTCAGCTGAAAAGGTAGGAATAAGCCTCTCTTATTATCAAGAGTTTAATTCAGTATGAATGGTCTGAATGATAGCTAGTGTGATGAGTTTGTCAGTTATAAACATATGCAGCTTTTTGATACAAAGAAATCATCAAACTCCTTATAAAGCAGTGATGCAGCACTGACACATACTGTAAATAGTTCAGTAACTGTACTTTAATTTAGGGAGGTCAATGATTCTGTGTAGGTGGCCTATTGGGTGTTTTTTCTGGTTCAGTTAAGTTAAGGTGTTCTTTCTGGGGTAAACTACAGCTTTACATTCATGACAGTAAATTATTTTAAAAAATCTACAAACAACATTTAAGATTACTTTTTTTCCTTTTCTAAATAGTCTAATGGCCTTTTGTATTAGTAGACTCAGTCCTGTGGTGCAATCTGGTCCTAGTAACTATTTACAAGAAAGGATTTTTTAGTATTTTTGCGTTATTTTAGTATAAATATACCTACAGTGAGAGACTCTGCTTTTGTCAGACCCATCAATTAAGTCCATTTTTGTCCTGAAATTGAAGCTATATCCCAGTATCTGTATAAATGTGTTTTGTCTGTTTCACTTTTGTCTCCAATCTTCAACCACACTGTCTTTATAAACAGGATGTCTTGTGCGAAGATACTGCTCCTCCTGCAGAGTCTGTCCCGAAGAAAACCTCTGGAGCCTGAGGGAGAGGTGTCAAACTTTCGTCGATGTCTGACCACTCTGGACCTGGTGGCTCTGGGGGTGGGCAGCACATTGGGGGCTGGTGTGTATGTGCTGTCAGGAGAAGTGGCCAGAACTGTGGCTGGGCCAAGTATCATCATTGCTTTCCTGATAGCAGCAGTGGCCTCAGTCTTTGCAGGACTTTGTTATGCTGAATTTGGAGCAAGGGTTCCCAAGACGGGCTCTGCTTATCTGTACAGCTATGTGACTGTGGGGGAGATATGGGCCTTTATCACTGGCTGGAACCTGCTGCTCTCATATGTTATAGGTAAAAAGAATGTGAATGTGTAATTATCATCTTAAAATATCTTTTCTCGTCTTATTTCCTGCCTTAAAACTATTGCACCTTTAGTTTTTATCGTCACTAACTCAACTTGTGAGTTTATCATACTGGTTTTACTGTTGTACTACATTTTTCTGTGAATCCTTCTGTTACGAAGGGACATCAAGTGTTGCCCGAGCATGGAGTGGGACGTTTGATGATCTAATTGGAAATGTTATTGCCAACTCCCTTGGCAAAAATGCTGCAATGGACCTACCAGGCTTAGCCCCTTACCCAGACTTCTTTGCAGCTGGCCTCATAATGCTTCTGGCAGGTAAGTCCACCAATTTTAATCCTTATGAATAAAAGTTTCAAGAGTTTTCCATTTCAATCTTTGAATAAATGAATGAAATTAAAACAAAACGGTTATAGTTACATCTTAGTTTATAGCATCTTTTGGCCTGTATTTATTCTTCTCTTTACAAGTAGCTTCAGTTATTTTAAAACACTGAGTCAGTTTCACTTTTTCTCTGTGTTTCCTCATCAGGGATTCTTGCATTTGGTGTTAAAGAGTCAGCTATTGTAAATAAGGTTTTTACAGCAGTGAACATCCTGGTGCTGCTGTTTGTAATCCTCTCTGGAGTCATTAAAGGTGACATCAACAACTGGTACCTTGATGAAGAAACCCTCCTTGTTGGATCTGAGTAAGGCATTTCATTTTTTACACACTGCATCATCAAGCAAAGAATAAGTATTTCTCAAGCTTCTCTAAAAAGCATAAATTATTTTTTATTAGCTTTGCGTGATAGAGATGCTTTAAATCTTCTTTCCCACCTTTGATTATAGATCATTTTTTGATGACTACACATTGACATTAATCTATTCTTCTCAGAAATCACACAACCTTGAATGAAACAACCACATTTGGCAGAGGGGGATTTTTCCCTTTTGGCTTTGAAGGAACATTAGCAGGAGCAGCCACGTGTTTTTATGCATTTGTTGGATTTGACTGCATTGCCACAACAGGTAAAATATTAACATGCATAGATATACTACCAGAAAAACGGTTATGGGGTGCATGGCATTACAAAAGATACTGAATTTACTGCAAAATAAAATGTGTTTTTCAGGAGAGGAGGTTCAGAACCCTCAAAAGTCAATTCCACTTGGGATCGTGGCATCCCTCCTCATTTGCTTCCTGGCTTATTTCGGTGTCTCTGCTGCTCTGACTCTGATGATGCCATATTATTTGCTCAGTGCTCACAGCCCACTGCCTGTGGCTTTTAACTACATCGGCTGGGGCCCTGCAAAATATGTGGTGGCAGTGGGATCCCTGTGTGCTCTGTCAACAAGGTAAAGGTAACACAACGTGCCATCTAAGACTGCAAACACTCTGCAAATTAAAGCAACACTGCCTCATGCTGCTGAGTTTTATCAAAATTTATTGGTTAACATTTACAGTTCAATTAATGAAGATAATTGGAATCTGTGTTTCATATTAAAATAGAAACATATAAAAATCAATAACTAAGTGGTTTTTGGTCATTGATTGAAGCTTTTTTCCACAGCCTCTTGGGATCAATGTTCCCAATGCCCCGTGTTCTCTTTGCAATGGCCAGAGACGGACTTCTCTTCAGACCTCTCAGTAAAATGAGTGACAGACAAAGTCCAGTCATTGCAACTCTGGCTTCAGGGGTTGTTGCAGGTAAATCTAGTGACATTAGTCATCAATGTGTGAACTTTTCTCTCTTGGCTTAACATCAATGTTTCCTTTAAAGTTGCAAAGCAGAAATGAAAAAATCCACAGAATGAACTGTTGTGTTTCAGCTGAAGTAGGAATTTGAATTTCATTTATGTATTTTCAGCTGTCATGGCATTGTTGTTTGACCTGAAGGCACTGGTTGACATGATGTCAATAGGGACCCTCTTTGCCTACACACTGGTTGCTATATGTATCCTCATATTAAGGTAGGATGTATCCTACTAAGACAAGTTGTATTATCACCTGATATATATGTGTATACTTTAAAACGTTGTGTTTATCAGTCATGCCAGTTTGGCCAGTGTTGTGTGTCAGGGCTGGATATAACCAGAAGGTGAGGTGGTGAGAAATTACAGTTTGTTTGTACCAGTCTCAGCAGAAGTCTAACATTAGGTGAAATAGATAATAACATGTAGCCTGTTTAATGAAGCCCAGTGTAGTTGGCTAAATTATTAAGCATTATAGTTTGAGTCATTGCTATTTTCAGTGTACAAAGTTCCTATAGAAAAACATGTGATTTAAACCCAATTCCTGTATGCATTAAATCAAAATTCCTCACTTTTACAGGTATCAAGCTGATCTCAGTGAGGATTCGAGTTTCAGCAAAACAGAGCCCTTTACAGTGACTGGAGTCTTATTTCCTCTCCCACAAGCCACCATGCGAACGTCAAGAAATGTGTCATTTTTAACTACTTTGATTAGTGAGTGATCCTCTGAGTAAAATCCTTTAAAATCATACTGAATGATTTAACCTTTTTTTTTTTTACACTGACATTATCCTCCTCAGTCTTTTCAGCTGTCGTCCTGAGCCTGCTCATATCTGGGACAGTGGACTCCCTGCAGGCCCAGGAGTGGTGGAGTTTACTTTGTGTCACTATAATTGCTCTGATGCTGGCTCTCATTACCCTGATCATCTGGAGACAACCACAGAGTACAACAAAAGCTGCTTTCATGGTATGCCCCATTCATCTTCAATTTGGAGGGGGCATGTGGTGACAAGGGTGACGTGGCATGCAGTGACAAAAATATCAATCAGTCACATTCTTCTTTTAGTTTCAAAGTTCTTACCAAATGACTGAAAGTTTTCATGATATTTTAAAAGATAATTCTGCTCTTTTAAATATACAGGTTCCTTTTGTGCCATTTCTTCCTGTTTTCAGCACTTTTGTCAATGTGTATTTAATGGTCCAACTCGGATCAGACACATGGATCCGCTATGCAGTGTGGATGGCAGTAGGTATGTAAAAATATCACTGTATTCACCTTCAATTTTAATCAAACACCAAAGCATGAACCTATATTATTTATCTCTTATTTGTGCAGGTTTACTCATCTACTTCTGTTATGGTGTTCAGCACAGCGTGCAGAAACAAAGGCTTCAAAATTCACACAACAAAGTCAGCATCCACAGTATCACCACCACCATGGAGGAAAATTTTGAACCTGGACAAGATTTTAATGGTTAGACATTTTAACAGCAATTCAAGAAGTCTTGGATTTGTTTTGTTTTTTTAAATCTTGAGCTTTTTATTTTACTGCCTTGGTTAAAAAAGGGAGAAGAAAAAAGACTTTATATTATATTCAATTCTTCGTTTGGATGGAGAATTGGATAACCATGACCTGGATGAATGCGAACCTAAACAGACGGCAATTATGTTGTGTAAAATGAGCAAAGACAAGAGCAATGCTTGATGGCAAAGTGCTGCCACCTAGACTAGACACATAGCCCCTCCAGTGAATATTTTATCTGACCACACTGTATCAAAAAACAACAATGTTGCAATAACCACCAGATAATTCATAGCTTGACTATTAAAAATGTAGGTTGTTTATTGTTTTCAAGCATGATAAACAGTGTCTAGATGCAGGGATTTCATCTTTTAGGTCCTCTACCAAACCTTGAACCTATCCCAGTCATCTTTTATTAAACAATGTGCATTGTATCTGTGTCATTTTTTTATAATATAAACTGTACCAGGAGACTATATGTGACATAAAATAAATGTGACATTATGGGCTTTGGAAAAGCTTGTATCCATTTTCTACTTCAAAATCATCTGATGAGTTACAACAACTGACCTCATGACTTAATTTCTTTTTCAATCTATATCTGCCTGTCTGTCTATTTAATCTAATCGGATAGGATGTCTATTCTTGTAATCTATTGTATTCGCCCACCTCAACCCGTAAAGTAGCACGTTTGTTTACAACCATACAGTCCATGTTTACAACGCGTGATAGGAACATTTGAACGATGTCGCTGTTTTCGGGGGCACAGTGAAGCAAGCACACTCAGGTTGATTAGCCAATCAGAGAGTTTGCATTCATCAGACGTCACCAGTTTTGGCCAATCAGCGTATCGTTCAGCCGGGAACCGCATTGTTCAAAAACGAAAAGCAGTCTGGTGAAATATTCCAGGGCGAAGTGCGTTAGCTTCATGTTCAGGTAGCTCAGAGTGATATTCCAGGTTTTCGCGTCAGTTGTCCAGTTTCGAGTGCTGGGGACTTTATCGGGATAACAAGGACTTTGAGCCGCGTGATATATTTTAGGTAAGTGGAGAACACCTCGCTGTTTCATTTAGATATTTAATTCAATTCGTCACATGAACATGAAAATTAAACTTACACCGGGAATTAAACTCTGTTTCACCAAACTCTTTCACAAGAACAACAGTACCGTCGTGGTATTAAGTTTGAAGGGAAGTTTAAAACTAAAGACACAGCGTTAACTTTTCCTCGACCTTCAACTATTACCGGACAGACCTGACCAAACAACTGTGCCTCGCGCTAAAGTCATGCGTTAACAACTTCTCTCGAGCTCATATGCGCGAGGACTTCTTGTCCAACCTTGGCTTTACCTGGTTACCTACTGAAATGTTAAAAAGCGCCTAAACAGATACATTAAGATTCTTTAAGTTGTTTAAAGTGAGTCACAATTTGAAGTGAAGTTTGGTCCAGTATGGTGTCAGCACAGCCGCAGGAAGTAAGTAAGAAAACTTTATTTGTGTATCACTTTTCACAGACAAAAAGTCTCAAAGTTCTTCACATAGACAAAAATAAAAATGTACATACAAATTAAAAGGCCAAGATAACAACATTAAACAGTCATAGCAGCCCCAAAACAATGAAACAAAAGCCTGAGCAAATAAGTTTTGAGTTAGCTTTTAAAGGAGTCAACAGAGACCAGAGCAAGCTGAAAGGTTACTGGTAAAGTCTTGTCATCTGTTGATCATTGTGTTGATCATACATATGCCTCTCCTTTTCTCAAAAAATCCAACATAGAGCACCTTCTGTAGGAGGTGTGGTCTGGAGAAACTGGAGTGTGGTTTCACTGGTTTGTGTCAATATTAGCAACTGAAAGAAAAGACGTCTGTAGGATAAAATGATTCAGATATGTTTGTGAAGGAGTGACAAGGCTTTTTTAATGTATATCTCATCAATAATTTATTTCTATTATATACTGTGACTAACTATGAGATGGCTTTGATACCAACTTTAGATACCACAGATAGGTTTAAAGTGTATTTAAATGATTTCCCACTCATCAAGACTTCTTACTTCACTATGACAGATAAGCATGGCGCTGTCTCTGTCCTCCCCGTGTGGATACACCTACGATGAGGATGAGGAGATTGCTGTGTTTGAGTCTACAGCTGCAGAGTTTGGAGGCCCACCCAGACCACGTCTACCAGAGATCTCTGTCATTTCGCCTGGCCTGGATAGGCATCCATCCGCTACAGTCTCGGTGAGATGCAAGAGAAGTTTTTGTGTTCACATGAACCGTGATGGAGTTATGTTGTCCTCACATTAATTATCACTGTTTGTGTATCTTTAAGATGGAACAATTGCTCTGTTTTCCCTCCTGATTATTTGTTTCTTAAAAAGTTTATTGTTAAATGTGTCTCCTGTGCTTCCAGAAACTAGCAGTGAAATCTGCAGCACAGAGACAGGAGAGCTGTGATGAAGGGAGCGTAGAGAGGGTGAAAGTGTTTCTTCGCATTCGTCCACTCGCTGAGGCAGAGAGGGACAAGGGAGAAGAACAGGTAAGACTACAAGATCAACAATAGAGCCATTTACATCTCATGTGCGCTCTCTGCTTTTAGTGCACCTGTTGTCTGAGCTCAATATCCATTTATTTTTTTTAAGGGGTGTGTGGCAGTCCAAGATGAAGAGACTCTGCTGCTTAAAGCTCCAAAAGAATCCCAGAATATGAGGACCGCAGAGAGAGGGATCACCCAAAGCATGCATAAGTTCAGTTTCTCAAAGGTAATGAAGTCACCTGTGAATGGTGTTAAAATATTTGTTGCCTTAAGGACTTGAATGAAGATTTTTAAAAAATTTTATTGTTTATGACAAGACATTTCTATCAGGGATATGAACCCCCCACAACCTGAGAATGTGATCCATTATCATGGAGTTAAAGGTCAAATGAAACAAGCTGCTCGATTAAATAAGTAGAAATTCAGAGTATCTGCAGACTGAAGTGCAAATGTGTGTCATTACCAAGCTTGAGCACCACCTGTTGTTTCAATGACAACAGTGAGCCTCGTCATTGCTCATGTTTATTAGCAGGCTTGTGATCAAAGCAATAACCATCCCCCTCCTCCTCTCTTTATAATTGTGGTTGTATTACTCTGTCACTAAAACTTTCCTGCTACCACCCAGTTTATCATGATTTACATTCCATTAAAACATGACAACAACTCTTGGTTGCACAAACTGTACTGTCTGACAGGAAAAGACATTTTGAGTCATAATGAAGTTTAATTTTCTTTGCCTCTCCAAATTTGTGTTTTTATCTATGACCAATCTCAAGTCTGATTTATTGCTAGTAAATACGGGCTGATTGATGCTTAAAGTGTGCAGTGGTGCAAAAAATAAAGTAGTGCTGAGGTGAAACTCTTATTCTGCTGTATGTTTTTTTTTTTTATGGTCCATGTGCAGTGTTGCCCTGGATCCTTAAAAGCTTTAGAGGACCCCTGATATACTGATGTTTACACATCTTCCTTCTTTCACAGATTTTTGGCCCTGAGACCACACAGCAGCTGTTTTATGAAAGCACAATGAAGCAGATGGTGAAAGATGTGCTTCAAGGACAAAATAGACTCCTCTACACTTACGGTGTCACCAACTCAGGGAAGACCTACACCATCCAGGGTAGGTTTTCTTTTTCCTTCTTTGCTTGTCTGTTTCTCAGAAAAATCTGTAAATATTTTGTACAACTTTGCCAAATGAACAAATATGCTGATATTTTATAAAAAATCAAACTGCTCAAATCTTGACCCATAGGCAGTGGTCGAGAAGCTGGCCTGCTGCCTCGGGCTTTGGCGACTCTGTTCAGAAAACTGCAGGGTCGCCTCTATGGTGCCATGGACCTGAAGCCTGTCATGTGTCAGGATGTGAGACAGCTCGACTCCGGTGAGGTCAGGGCGGAGGAAATCCGCAGAAACTCTCTGCTCAAAGAGGTAAACAGCTCTCAAGGATCTTTTTAAAAGATGAAAACTGTCGTCTCTATTTCCTGCAGAGTCGCACTGAGTACTGCAAAGTTTCCATCAATAGTGTGTGTAGTGGTTTATATCTGCTGTTGCAAAATGTCATTTCAATACCCCATTTTGATTGTGCAAAATTGTGAAGACAATAAGAGTGCTAAACATGAAACAGAAAACGAAAAATAGCGTTGGGGGGCACCGATCAATCATAGTTATCAGATATGCAGTAAGCTTGGTGGCTGTTACACAAACAGACAAAATTATGCAATAGGGAACAGAGGAACAAAAAAGAAGAAAGAAAAAAAACACAAAACAATCATAATTCAAGTTTAAAAATACTAAAACCGAAAGTGGAAGAGAGTAAGAAAAACACAGGAAAAGATGTGTTCTGCTCTACAGCCTTGAGAGTAAAAGAAGAATAACAGGGGTTTATCAGAGAAGAGGTAGATTGGGGACTTTCTGTTCCTGGACCCATGTATGAAGTCTGTCTCAATGTGGCGGTCCCAGTGCAACCAAGCTCTAAACTCTTAAATAAATAAAATCCTCCAGCACTTCTTACTTATTCCATATACCTGCTCAATGGGTAAAGGACAATTTCAAAGCTATTTATGCAAGCTTTCAAAACTGTGTTAAATAAATAAATAAAGTCATCCCTTGTGACAGATCTGAGCTGATCTCTCGTCTGTTTCAGGATGAGAATCAGACATCTCGTCGAGGTGGTACCACCACAATCTGGGACAGTGGTGTTGGAGGACTTTCCTCAACATGCAACATTGCCACACAGCTTGAAGGTAAGATGGACAGTGTGGGGTTTGAGTGGGTAGGCAGTATATTTTCTTAATTTTGGAAATCCAAATGCCGTTTGTTAATGTATGACTGTGATGGTTTGATAGCATTCACAGCACATGTTGTGGCGAAGGAGTCTGAGGAGTTAAAATCGCAGCAATTGTAGATAATTACTCCTGAACTCTCCCCCGCCACATTATAATAATCAATTGTAATCATTGTCATCACACATTTTCTTTGTCTGCTCCCCCTGTGCAGACACAGACAGTGTTTGTCTGGAGCCCGACAGCCTTTCACACAGCGGAGGAGATGACCTGGAGGAAGGAGTGCAGTTTTCTCTCTGGGTGTCCTTCTATGAAATCTACAATGAGTTTCTATATGACCTGCTGGATGCTTCACCTTCCCTGCAGCCCAGGAAAAGGGTCACACTGCGCCTTAGTGACGACAAACATGGCAACCCCTACGTGAAAGGTGATTTGTGCTTGTTCACAAAAAAGATGTTTAAAGAGCAAGACGCTGTTTCATTACCAGCATTTGAATCTGTTAAATCAGAGTCCAAGTATGCAGCTACCTTTGACTGATGCATTTGACAAAGCAGGATTGAAAAAATGCTGACTATAAAGGAAGACAAAAATTCTTTGAACTGCATGTTTGCTTTTAAAAAGATCTGCAATAACATCATCAGGAATACTTCACAGATTTTCAACAGCTTTATTAATTCATACATTGTTGTTGCTGCTTCTACCTTATATTTTTCCTTTAGACCTCACCTGGATCCAGGTCAGCAGCGCAGAGGAAGCGTGGAGGATTCTGAGGGCTGGGCGCCGAAACCAGAGCTTTGCCAGTACTCACCTCAACCACAACTCCAGCCGCAGGTACTAACACATTCAAACTTTTCCCTTTGGACTTTATAGGTCTTTTTATATTTGTGTTTCTGATCATAAAGTTTTCTCTTATACAGCCACAGCATTTTCTCTATCCGTGTCCTGCACGTTCGCCCGGATGCAGATTCAGGCATGGCCATGCACACCAGCGAGTAAGTTAGTCCCATAAATAAAAACAAGAAATCTAAGTGTGGAATATTGATGGACTAACCAATACTGTATTTTTTACTGTGCCCTCTTTAGACTGACGGTGTGTGATCTGGCGGGGTCTGAGCGCTGTAAGGAGCAGCGTAATGGTGAGAGGATGAAGGAGGCCAACAACATCAACACCTCTCTCTTAACCCTGGGCCGCTGCATCACTGCTCTGAGACACAACCAGAACAACAAGTAATAATAAGTTTACTCATACAGTTCAGCTCTTGTGATGCTCCCCTCGTAGTTGTTTTTGTGTTTTCTTTACAATATAAAATTCTTTCATATCCAAACAAGTTTATTTGTAAGTTCATGTAAGAGATGGAGCCATTCTTTTAAAGCTTTTTAATATTCATGTAGGTCAAAACCTCCACAAGTGGTGCCATTCAGAGACAGCAAACTAACCCGGGTCCTGCAGGGCTTCTTCTGCGGCCGAGGAACATCCAGCATGGTGGTCAACATCAATCCATGCGCCTCCATCTATGACGAGACCCTCCAAGCCCTCAAATTCTCAGCTATTGCTACTCAAGTAAGAAAAAAAGGAACATTTCTTGTCTCAATTTCTAACGTGTGATTTTTAGAGCAACAGATGAACTAAAATATTCCTCATATCTTTCTCAGCTGGTCCATGGCCCATCCACGAAGACCAGAGTGGCCTACATCCTGTCCCTGCTGCGGGAGCCTTCAGCACATGCTAATGACAGCACGTTGCTAGAAGAGGAGGAGGAGGAGGATATGGATGAAAGTTGTGTTGAAGATGGAGATATCACTATGCTGAACACTGAGGTAACATCCTCTGGCATGTTATTTGAAAACTTAATAATGAAGGTGAATGCCCAGAGACCTCATTGGAGAAAATTTAGTGTATAGATATTGAGTAAGCTAAATGTTAAGCAGTCGCAAATGAACACTTTATGCATTCCTAACAGCTCACTGAACTTTCAGGCTCTGCTGCAGGCCATTGATGTGTTAAAGAGAGAGGTGCAGCGCCAGCGGGAGGAGAAAGAGGTTCTTGAGGCGAATGTGAGAGAGCAGGTGGTCTCCGAGATGATGGAGGTCATCACTGGGATGCAGGATGGCTTCAGGTGTGTCTGCTAGGTTTAGTCAACGGTTTTGGGTTTTGTAGTATGCCTTTAACACCACCTATAGTGCAAGAAGTTTGGAGTTTTCTGAGCAAAGACTGGAGTTTGACACGAAAGCAGGTACTGAGTTGTGATGTCCTCTTGATCTCCAGTGAGACCCTGGAGGCAGAGAGAGCTCTGATCGAGCAGCGATACGAAGACAAGATTACCAACGTGCAAAAACATCTGAAGAAATTCTACAGCCAAGAATTACAGGTAAAGACTAAACCACCAACAGCTCAGGCTGATGAGATTTTCCTCAAACTGCTTTTAAAAATCTGTGCTAAACTTATTTTTGTAATGCTGTTGATGCATTTTAGCCGGGATGTTAATACAATTTTGTTTTTCATCCCAATTTAAGGAGCGGGATCAAGAGATTGAAGCTTTGTCTGCCGCTCTTGAAAAGACAAAACAAACCGGGACGGTCCCTGTGCCAGCGCCACAGATTGACTACGAGGGTCCTCGACGGTCTCAGCGCCTCAATAATCAGTCAGAAATCAGCAGACTTCAGGTTAATCTTGACCAGTGTCGTGCTGACCTGCTCTCAAAGACTCAAGGTAAGTCACAATATCAAAGGGCTCACTGTGGTTGTATTACCAGGTGAGTTATCGTTATTGGTCTTTAACTGTCTTCTTCTATTGCCTTTGCAGAGCTCATGAGGCTGAAGCTCCTGCTCGAAGTCCCAGGACCGACAGGCACCCTCACCTCCACTGTTGACAGAAAGCTAGAGGAGGGTCAGAGGGTCAGTCACCTGCTGCATTATTTGGATTGCATTACTGTTTTTTTTTCATCCTCCAGAAAGATTAAAGGTCAAACTTTTACCTACAGAACCTGCGCCAGCTGCGCCTGGATCTGCAGAGGCTTGGCTTGGACCTGCAGTCCGGTGAGCGAGCCTGCTGTCGCAACACAGGAGGGGAGAGGCTGCGCCAGGCTCTAACAGCTGCAGATGAGACACTTGTCAAACAGGTAAATCATACGAATTAATGAATTTATCTTTACCCAAAATAATGTAAAAAGCTGTGAGTTGAGGTGATGTGTGAGCAAGGAGGCATATGAATCTAAAATCTGACTGCTAGATATCCCTTAATATTTCCATTTCTACGCATTGTACCTTTAAATTTAAAACATCAGACTCCAGTTGACCTGTCTAGAAGTCTGATCTTAGTCTTCTATGAGGTTGACTATTTGAGATTTGAGGTTTGCTTTCAGTAGCTGAATCTAAGCAGAAAAACATAAAATGTTAAAGTCTCAAAGTTAAATTCTCAATAAAATACTCTTGTTTTCTCCCCCTCTACTCTCTTCACTAACTATACTGATGCACAGGCAGCTATTGAACTAAAACAGAGTTTCTAACATCTGCACTAGGTAGTTTCGGTGCAAAGGCATGTTTTCAAGAGTCTTCCTCACCTCACCCTCACTCCTCCTCCTCCTGCGGTCTCTTCTAACCCTGTCCACTGACCTCTTCTCAGGACCAAATCCTTGTGGAGCTTCAGAACAGCCTGATGCTTGTTAAAGCTGACTTAAGGCGGAAAGCAGAAACCCTGGCTCAGACACAAGTCATCCGACCTCAGCTGCCCCCACCGGGCTCCGCCCCCTCCACCGCTCCAGGATCTTGCAAGAAGAGAGGTTGTGCGGCTGCTGGGCCGAGTGAAACAGAGAACAGACCTCCACAAAAACGCTTCTTCCATTCCCTGTTCCCGACACGCACCCCAACACGTAAATACAACACTCGCGCGTGCCAGGAAGCAAACACTCCTTACAACCAGATCCTCAGGTCTCGCCAGCCGTCACCTCCTCCCAGCCCTCTCCTCACCCCTTGCAATCTCAGGGGGAAGTACTAAGCTGCTCTAAGTTTCACCGGGAGTCTGTCCATTTTTATATTATGCAAAAGTAGGTTTCAGTCGCTGATGGCTTTATCGTGGTTTATACATTTGTTTGTATTCACTTTTTGCTGTGTTATGAACCAAATAGTTATGACACTCATGCCAAACATTTCTGCTTTAAGCAGGGTTGTGGCGTTCTCGTTGGAGAACTGATGTGCTCTTGATGTGCTCAGTGGTTAGTTTGACAGTTTGACTGTATGGTTAAAAAACGTCTGCTTGTCTGCGTCTCTTCTCTCTACCTTCACTGTAAATATTTTTGTTTTCCTCTATAAAATCTGAAAACACTTTGTATTATTTAGTGCTTTTGATTTGCACCTTTTAAAAGATTTCTTTCATAGTAAAGTTATGTAAACCGCTGCAGGGGTTTTGTGCATTGTGCAACATGAATATATGTAATAGGTATGCTGTTTTTTCTACAAGGCTATTCATATATACATAAAGCTGAGGCATAACTCTACGACTATAGGCTTAACTTTGATGTGTTTGGTTGTCTTTCTTCTACATGTCACGTATTATTGCTGAAGGTTCACAGTTCTGCTCTTGAAAACAATGTAGTTGTGTGTTTAATCTGTAGTAAAACTTTTTCATTAGGTCCACAGTCATAACCTTACTTTTTACATATCAAGTTTATAACACACACAAAATAACCAGAAAGCAAGGTTTTAGAAAGAACAAAAAAAGATTTTTTTAATGTATTTTACAGAGTTTTTTTGTGTGTGTGTGCCAAAAGTGATTTTTTTTTTCCCAGCTCAAACATCTGCTGTATCATGTCCAAGAATACTCATAGTCCATGTTAAAGCCTGTGAAGATCAGATCAGGGTGTGAAGGAGATGAGGTTGAGTGGAGAAACCCTCCTGACTGGAGTGTTGTTGTTTGAGAGCGGAGCAAACAGGTCAGCTGACGGCGTCTCAATCTGATCTCTGACGAGCGAAATCTGCCTCAGCAAAGCCTTCCCCTCTTCACGAGCCTAAGAGGCCAATTAACACCTGTTAGATGTGTTATTACACCTGCAGCAACACTGCCAAGAGAATAAAGGCACACTTACATCGTTGTAATCACAGCAGCGCTGAGCACAGAGAGACGCCTCATCGTAGAGCTTGTTTTTGAAATAGTGCTGTCCTAGGTAGCGCAGGGCTGTGCTCACCTCGGCGTGCTCCAGTTGTTCCTTTGATGACAAAATTTGGTCATTTTATTAAGATGAAAACTTTTATTTGAGTTTATTTTCTGTCTGACACCATGACTTCGGGTTATGTGTTACACTGGTACATAACCAGCACGTTGCAGAAACAGCCTTTTTTACATTTTCACCAGCAAACATTTGCCATGACTGATACATTTGATTATTGGATAAAAGCAGGATGTTATGAATGTACCCCCTCACAGCAGTTTCAGGCATCCAAAATGAAAACTACTTACCCCGCAGGAGAAAATGTCCTGGATGTAAAGCATGTAACACTGAGCAGCATCATCGTATTCATTCAGCTGTTCATGGAGCCTGCCAGAGGAACAACAACTTAGAGTCAGCTCTAGTTTCTAAATAACACAAAATTACACTGACATGTGACAAAGAAAATCAGTTGAAGGATTTTTGTTTTCTGTTTTACTCTTTCTATGAACAAGGCTTTTCATGTATTTTCTTGGAATAGAGAAACAACGCTTACTTTGCCAGTTTGAGTAGAGCCATTTTCTCCACATCTCCGACGGAGTACGCCCTCCAGTAACACTACAGGAAAACAGACTGTCAAACCCTCAGAGAAGACAAAAACCATTGAGCAACAAAACAAACCAGAAATTGCTGACAGTTGTACTCATAATTCATTCACCTTCTTGGCTTCCACCTGCTGTGACAGTTTTTCGTAACTTTCTCCGAGTGCAACCAACATGCGAGAATCATTGGGCCTGCAAAAAAAGATCACAGTGTGTCAGAACAAAAACCCTTTAGATTATGAGCATCCCAGAGTTTGAATATTTATGCTGCGTTCAAATTACCTCGGAAGTCAGATGTTCAAGCTGGGGATGACGTCACACCCAAGTTACCAGCGTTTCAGTTACCAAGTTGGAAAAAAGCAAAATCGGAGGCAGAAACAAGTACTACGAAATTTATTTAGCACTTGCCTTGTCCTTGCTTATATTCGGACAAGGCCAGCGCTAAAATAACTTGCATAGATGTAGCCATCTTGTTTCCGCCACCGATTTTGTGTTTTTTTTACCGACTTGGTGACTGAAACGCTGGTAACTCCGGTGTGACATCATTCCCAGCTTGGACATCTGACTTCCAAGGTAACTCGAACGCAGCACAAGTTCTCATAAGAGAAGATGGATTGAACACTATTCTATCTCCTTACCTGAGCTGGTGAGCCTTTCGGTAGTAGTACAAACAGTAAAAAGGCATCTTGAGGATCTCATATGTCTGACCCAGGCCGTACCAAGCTCGGTAGTCCCGCTTGTTCACTTCGATGGCATGTCTGTTAGAAAAACAAATGAGTAGATAAAAACAACAATGAAACAAAGTTCACATCTCCTACACACACCTGTGTAGGTCTGACAATAATGCTGCGTTCGCGTTACCTCAGAAGTCCGAGTTGGGAATGATGTCACACCCGAGTTACCAGAGTTTCAGTTACCAAGTCGGAAAAAAGGAAAGTCGGAGGCGGAAACAAGATGGCTACGTCTACGAAAGTTATTTTAGTGCTTGCCTTGTCCTTGCTTATGTTCGGATAAGGCAAGTGCTAAAATAACTTTTGCTTTCTTCTGACTTACGCTGGTAACTCGGGTGTGACGTCATTCCCAGCTTGGACACCTGACTTCTGAGGTAACTTGAACACAGCATAAGCATAGACATACTGACAAAGAGACATCATCACAAAAATATAACTGTCCTCTCCACTCTCAGTCTGACCTGTAGGCTTGGATAGCAGCTGACGTGTTTTTCATTTCCATGTATTCGTGGCCCATGAGGGTCCAGGCTCCGAGGCAGCGAGGGTTCAGTTTGAGAGCCCGCTGGAAGTACAGCGCAGCTTTCTCATGCTGAGAACGTAAACTGTAGTAGTTACCTGTGACATAGAAAAAGGGGTCAGCTATCACATCAGTGACTCTTTGAACAGCATTTGTTATTCTTATGATGATTTAATGAAAGTATTTTGTAAGTATTTGTAAACAGAGGCATGAGCATTGATCACATTAGTTTAACACTCACCGATAACACAGCAGGTCTCCACTCTGTACTTGTCAATCTCCACCAGGTTGTGGGCCAAGTAGCTCAACTCTGGCTTCATACTCTGTGTAACAAAACTCTCCGTGAGTTAGAGCAAGACAATAATCCTGGTCTACAAAAGCAAATACTCTGTAACTTATATCCTGTGCTAAAGAGCTAGGCATAAAGAAATCTGAGCTAATCCTGGGACCTAAATATAAACATGAGAATGATTAATCCCTTGTTAGAATCTGTCTTACTTCACTGTGACTGATATGATTTAAAACCTCCTTTTAAAGGTTGCAGACACTTCTTCTATGCTAATCAATAAAGTATCGTATCACAGTAGTGAACTCACTTTGACGTAGAGCAGGTTAGAGAATGTGTCCATGTTGTCGATGCGAAATGGGTCCTGCTCCCTCAACTCATTGAAAAGTGCCAAAGCTTGGTCAATATCTGAAACAGAGACAGTACACTTGGAGGTCAAACATATTCATGAATAAGTTTCCTAACTGGGAATGTTGGTATCAAAAAGACAGAAGAAAAACCTCTGATGTTGTGGTAGGCAACAGCGATCTGTGAAATGATGTAGGTGCTCTTCGAAAAGCCTGCCTCCATGAGGTTCTGATATTTCTGTAAGGCCTCTTTGATCATCTGCAGCTCTGTGTACATGTGGGCCATGAAGAAGTCTTTAATCCAGCAGTCAGGTAGAGACAGGGACTTAAGCTGAGGAGAAGACAGATGGAATTATTGTCAATAACTGAAGCCAAAAACAGCATTTACGCTGAGGTTGCCAACCTGTGAAGAACCTTGCTCTTACATGGTAAGATGGATCACAGACAACTTGAGCAAGAGCATATCACCTTTGTAGGTTTGAAGTAAACAGCAGACTTACATGAATATAATTAAACTGAATTAAATCTTCAAATTTTTAGCCTGCAGGAGAGAAGGCCAACTACTGCACTTCCAAGAGGGTTGAAAATTAAATCTGACTTCCGTTCATTTTTAAAGAGGATTTCCATCAAAGTCCATTTTGTTGTCAAATTTCTGGAGTGCTCATTGGAACGCCGGGTCCCCCACCAATGAAAAACAACACCATATCTTCAACCAGATCCTGTATAATAGTGCCCAAAAGTGGTCTTTTTATGCTGTTCTCTCTGTAGTCTCCTTAACCGGTAAAAAAAAAAAAACTCTGTAGGGCCTGCAATAGTTCACAAAGCTGACAATTATGATATCACATCTCTTCTTTTTAAGATCTAACCAATTAAAATGGAACTTTTCTATAAAATCAACACAGGCACATAAATCAGCATAAGATCAAAGTGCTGTGTCATGAAATGTTGTGTATTTAGTTTTGTAGTTTGACCCATATTTTAACAAGAGAAGTAGACTTTATCTGTTACAGTCAAACACCAGCCCTAACACTTTGGCTTCACTTTAGGGAGCTGTTCTGCTGTTTATGTTTTATACAGTCTAAGCTTCACACACATAATAGGTGGCTCAAATATTATAAGTGTACATTATGGGGGTTGCTTTCAGGTCTAAAGATAACGGATTTGTACAAAGACAGCTGAAATACAATCCCATTTACGATACATGTACCTGTTAATAAAAATTTACCATTTCAATGTTGGTGACAAGGTTACTAAGCTCCAGCCAGGATCCCCAGTGAAGAGGAAGTGCGTGAATTGCCTCAACAAACACCTCCACAGCTTCCTTCAGCAGATCCAGCTTTCGTAAGACAACTCCGTATCTGTGTAAAAACATGAACAACTTTTTTAATGAGCAGTAGTCTGCACAGCATGAGTACAGAGTGTAATCCATACACAAAAGTTTGAGTACCAGTTGGGCTTAATGGTTAAATTGCACGCCCTGTAAATAGAGGCTATAACCAACCAAGTAGCCAGCCTGGATTCAGTTCTGACCCACAGTCTTTTGCCTCATGTTATCCCCAATTCCATCTTTACAGTTTCCCAATTTAACCACTTCAAAACTTAAGGGAAATAATAATAATAGTAGTCTTACAGGTACAAGGTGAACCCATCCAACTCTCCTGCGATATGCTTCTTACTGAGCTCTACCCTCAGTTCTCGCAAGGCTTCATTTCGAACCTGACCCTTCTCAAGAGGACCTGGAAACACGTGGTGCAACAGAAAACAGCTCAGTGTTAAACAAAAAATAATTTATAAAAGAGCTATCCAGAAAAAAACTCCAAAAAGATGAGTCCTCACCCAAGCTGTCAACGGTCTCATCGTCCTTTTTTTTCTCGCCTGACTGAGGACGAAGAAGAAAACGTTTTTTTTAACTGTGATGTAGAAAGAATCCAAAGATGTGAGTATGCTGGAAATGTACAAGCCTTACCAGATAACGAGAATACATATAGAGGAAATAAGCCTTCTGGCTGCAGCAGCCTTTCAGAAAGTAAGCAGCACGGTCATACTCTTTCAGGTCAAAGTAGGATTTAGCCAGTGTGAGTGCATCCAGGTCTTGGGCATCTTCCTGTAATCACAACACAAACACCATCAATAAAGTCATCAATAACGGCGTTTTCAAGTTAACATCAATACTAGAGATCTCATTTATAAACCAAAAAAAATACTTAAGTTACTGTAAGAACAACTTCTAAACACACAGACAACTGCCAAATCTTTACACACACAGCATCAGCAGGGGGCGGTCTAACCTTGCCTTTTGTGAGGGAGGCACACTAGCGATTAAAATCAAAAGCAAAGCTGAAATACGAAAATGCTAATATTTTGCACCTTATGTTGTTTTTTATCACTATTTCAATATGTGTTCGAAATAGATTGAAGAATAAGTGTTCAATATCTAATGCATAAACTGATAAATGTGCTCTCTGAAATGAAAGTAACATTCTTCAACATTGTTTCAGCGTGACTTACAGCCAAAAGCTGAAAGGTGAATCTACTGTATACATACACCAACCGTGAAATTAGTTAGATAGTTAGTTAGTAGTGATAGATAGATAGATAGATAGATAGATAGATAGATAGATAGATAGATATGTGATGTACAAAATATTGGTATACCACCAACACCCACTGCAAATTTAAGAAAATGCTCACCTGCTTGATCATGTCAATAAAAATGGACCATTAAGTAAAAGCAGAATATAAAGTAAAGCTGCTGTTTGAGGTTGCCCAAGAGTTGATGATGGTTTTTGAACTCTTAGGTAACTCAATAAAGGAAGTGTTAGGTTGACAGCAAAGATTAAAATACAGAAAACAAACTAATCTGAAGAAAGAATGACAGCAAACCAACCTCTGTGAAAGGAGGTGAGGGGGGTAACTCATCTTTAGGAAGAGGGTCCAAAGCAAAGGCCAATTCAGAAGCCCTAAAACATGAAAACAGAAGAAAATCAACACATCCGTCCACACATTTCAGTCAGGGTCATTGTGAAGGTTAAGCTCTTCAAATTCCATTTTATGACATGCAGAGTTTTCAATTTCAACCTGCTAACTACTCCTCAAAGTATCTTTCATATAACCCTCCAAACATTTCATAAGAAACTCCTATATGTGATGAATTTAGGGCCAAGACCCCCATTTAATGAAATGCATTTCAGGTCCCAGACTGTAGTTTACTCTCTGTGTAAATGAGAGTTATCCTTAGATCTGACAGAGAAAGGTTTTTACGGATGGGCTTGACAACAGCTCTGCTAACACAACCTGCTAACAGACTAGGAACTACCGTAAACCACTGGTTACTGTGGTAACAGGACAAAAAGACAAGCGTGTAACAGAAGAGCAGTCACCGCGAATCTCACCACTTAGCGCTGTGTAAAAGTCCTCGCTCTTTACAAAGCAATATCACAGATATTAACTGTTTCTTGATTTGAACCAGGTCTCCAAACTCAGTACAGAGAGCCGCCATTTTCGTATTTTCTCCAAGCAATTATGCTATTGGTGGATACAGGCGCTACAAGGCGGTAGTCCCGCCCAGCAAAGTTTACATCACTTCGTTCTCAGCTTCCAAAATAAAAGAGTCGTGTCAGGAAAAAGCTGCTTTTCTTTATCTTTATCTTTTTCTTTTTCTTTTTTGTAAATCCAGGCTAGCATGGTAATAGTCCAAAAACATTGCATAAAATAACATTTAAAAAACAATAAAAGACTGTAAACATTTTTTAATTTTTCAGATAAATACTGTTTTCTTTCCTTACCCCCATTTGTACAACATAAACATTTTCTCCAGAGGTCTCAAGAGCCTTCACTGCATGTCACGTTTTCAACAAAGATATCAGGATAGCAAGTTTAACCGTTTTTTTTTTCATTTTATCTTTTTCTTTTAGTCTATATTTTCTTACAAGAGTAACATTGCTAGGCTATTCGACCCCTTTCAGAATAATGCCTCTCTCAACAAGGGTTGCACATGAAATCTAATTGACCCTACAGCTTATTTCATTCATAGCCATTATTATATGTTGGGTTTGTACAAAAAAGCAACATTACTATTTTGTTTTCTTCATCTAAAACCATTTACTAAAGAAAAGCATCATCAGGACTTTTGATTCTACATCTAGGCTATATTTAGCCTTTGCCTGAGTCCTCTGTTAGCCCAGGGCTTACAGCTCTGTTAACTCGGAGCTTAAAGTCCTTTCATTCCCAAAACTTCAAATATGGGATACCTTCATCACTGGCCTGGGGCTTAACCCTACTCTGCAGTAAGGTTTGAAGCTTTATCCCACAGATTTGAGTTGAAATGACTGATTTGAACTGAAATCTTTAAGATGAGGCTGCTTTTAACGAAGTCCGGTTTGTGTTTGGAAGCAATGAGTAAGAGCTGTCTTACTCCTTTGTTTTCAGTAAACTAAAGGTTCATGTTGATGTTAAAGTATCTGTATGGGTGTTTATTTTTGGCTGCAGAGCAATAAAGCTTGACCTTCAAGGTCCTGGATTCCGGTTGGTGACCTCCTCAATGCCCCTGTCACTATTTACAGTAGCAAAAATCCTGTCTGACGGTCTATTTTCAGACCTGTCTTTGTTGAGCTCCAGCTGTTGGATGGTTTGACCACAAAACTGTCTGCATGCAAAGGATCAGGTGGGGTTTCTGCAGCTTTGATCTACTGTATACACAGTTCTGCTTTGTGTCGTGTCCGAAGTGGAATGGTTTGTGAAAAAATATTCATAAGAGAAATTAAAAAGACAAAATATCAGTTGTATCCTATCCTCTCACTATTCTAATACACTCCTGAGTGTTTCTCATCTTTTTAAAAGCATTGCAACAAAATTGCATCAGCTCCTGTAATGATGGTGCAGTTCTCAGGTAATGTAACAGAATACACAATGTTGGTTCAAGTACTTCAAAACTTCAAATCTTTATAGAGGCTCCTTTTCCTCTACACTGCCAAACCCCCTACTTTGTCAATGATATTTGCCTTTGCTTTCATGTAAACAAAAGTTACTTACTTTATCAATATCGTGGTCAGACATGAGTTCTAGAGGAGCAGTAGCATTTCGATTCTTTTGTGTGCCAGAAATGTGTCCCGTTTGATTGCCTGTCCTGCTCTTGTCACTGGTCCTTGTGCTTTGCCCTGCTTCACTGGTGCAGAGCTGACATGACTCATCATGCTCCTGTCCATGAACATCAACTCCATCATCCTCTTTTCCAAAACACTGCACAGAAGAATGACTTCTCTATGAAAAATATTCTGATTGTCACCTTTTCTCCAAGGCATTTGTTTCATTTTAGGTAAAATAATTAGACTCTGATTACATAAAAGTGAATTAGGATGGCATTTTATTATAGGTTCAGTGACACTGACAGATCAGACTAGTGCTGACTGCCAACTCTAATTTTCAAAGTTCAAAGGGTGTGTGAGGGGGTGAAATTTAAAATGCATGACTGCCAAATACTTATCTGTATGTAATGAGAATGTGTCAAGTACAATAAATCCTGGAGCAGCACGTTCCTCAGTAACAGTATAGTCAAACAGGTGCTCAGACACTACACTGACATTAAAGCATCAGTGACAACTGTTTAATGCACTTAGATCATGGAAAGGTCTCAAGAAGTTCTCTACAGAAACATAGAGCAGAAAACTTGCCCTAACTCCACACAGAGTAGTCAAAGACAGAATAAAGCTTTTATTTTTACCTATATATGCATGTGAATGTATAGTGTTAGCACGCTTGGAATAGAAGAATTATCAATGAGCTTTAATGAAGAACAAGCCCTGCTTTTGTATTTGTAATTTTGAATGACTACTCAGCTGAAGTAATGTATAATACCTTGGGATGGCAGCACAGCAACATGTCATGAAAATATCTCAGTGAATACATTATAAATAGTACACCGCATATTAATAAACTGCATTGTTTTATTTATGCTGATGTGTTTACAAGTTGATAACATATCCTCTAGTGTCACAAAATGGCATCCCACATGGGTCAGTGCTGGGTCCTTTTTTATTTATAACACATTAATAATTGATGTTACGTTATTGCTGATGCAAGAGTTTCATTTTTATGCTGACAATACAGCTATGTGTACTGCGTCTTCCTTCTTTGCATGTGCAATTAATGACCTACACACTTGTTCCTTTATTGTATAGATAAATCTTTGTAAATTAAGGCTGGTGCCAAAAGATTAAAATGATATACTTAATAAGGTTTAAAAAGCCAGTTAAGATGCTGGTCAGATTTTTATTATTAATAATTAAGTGATTGAATTCGCCTCAAAATGTAGAAATCTGTTTCTAGTCCATGAAAAAAAGGATTTGAATTATCTCATTGAGAGTCTAACAGCTGAGGGTCAAACTGTGTTTCTAAGGGAAAAAAAGGAAAAAAAAATTCAAGCAACCTTATTATGAGTGGATAACTACAGTGTGATTTTTTTATATGCACGCTACCCCCATCTTTGCTGAAAATGTTCGACTCTGTGTACCATTTGAGTCTGGTTCAGGGTTTTGCCCACAACATTGTGCTTTGTATGAGAGAGAGAGGGTGTGGCTTCCTGACATTACAGTAGCATGAGTGTGTCTTTCTTTAGAACGCCATATTACATAAACTGCTGTCTTATTTATGTTATGAGCTGACCCTGACACTGTCAGCGGCTGCAACCTTCTGTTTAATGGACTCTTCATATATGTCAGTCCTCTTATAAAACGGCTTAAAGTGTTTTCAGTCTCTTATCCTGGTCTGAGCCACTGAGGTCACTGTAAACTAGAGCATTTAACCAGTGCATGCATACGACTACTTACTTCCTACTGAACGCTGTCAATCTGATTGATGTAACAGTATCCAGTGACTGCCTGTTGATTTCCTTGTACTTATATAAAACTGTTTTTGCTGCTGTCTTGGCCTGGACCCCTTGTAAAAGTTTACCAGCAGGAATATTCCAGATAAAGGGTCAAGTAAAAGATTAAAAACACAATGTAGACACATGAAAATAATTCTTCAGAAAGATTCAAAAGTAATTACTTTTTTCAGACTCACAGCTCAGCATTTTTGAGTCAATGTAAACCCTATTTAAATATAAAAATCATCCATTTGCAAATGTTTTACTGTGGCCTCAGTTAAAAGCTTGGAGTGAGAAAACAATTCTTTTTCATACAGGATACAGCTTTGTGCTTAAGAGAAAATCTGCAGATTTAAATAAAAAATTTCCAATTCTGAATTGTGTTCATTTCCAACAAAAAATTCACGTATCTTTCTTCCAAAGTTGTTTATAAAAAACATTTGCACCTGCAAAATCACAAGAAAATGCTGGTAGGGATGAGATGCAAGAAGAACAGAGTACCTAACCAAATCTGACCAAGGGGTGGCACTGTCTTACTGAAGTCACTTTAAACAGAGGATGGTGCACCACTGTGAAACACATTGCATGAAAACTTTTAAAGATTGTTTAGATTAAATCATCAGAGGAAAATATGCTCCATTCATGATAAGATGCTCTCCTTGAAAATCTGTGCTTCTTTCTCTGTCCTTGAAGGGAAACTTGTTTTTGAAAAATTTCTCTTAATAACTTGAATTTTATCCAAAGAACTCAACAGGGGAATTTGTAAATAAAAATTAATTGGCTCTGGTCCCTCAGTTCTCCTCACAGAGATGTTAAGTTCACAACAGAGGGAGATCAGGTCCTCCACAGTAGTGCTGCGTGGTGTGGAGGCTTTGCTTGCATGGTTTGATGCTGCCTGTCAGAATACTTGACATGGCTGATGATACTCCATTATTCACTCCTAAGACAGCTGAATAATTTCCCTTCATTTGGATGCGGCATCTCCTCTGGACTTGCTCCCTTGTGTTGGACATCCTCTGTCGGACATGTCTCTCTTTTTTTTCTCTGCGGAGCAAAAGCCACTTAAGAAGACTGACAAAGTAATCAAGTAGCACTGTGGTGTACAAGGCCGAGCACATGGCTCACTGAGCAGGTAGAAAGAGGTACAGAGACAAGACACACACTTCATTCCATCCCTTCTACTCTATTTTTTCATCCCATTTTTGTCTTTCTCTTTTCCCCTTACACATCCACAGTCGTACAATCCCGACGTCTTCCTCTCTCCTTGCCTTCAGTTCTTCACTTGAATACCCCCCTACACACATGTGCTTATATCCTGCAGGTATGGGGCAGTCAAGTGCGTGACGGAGCTGCTGAGACAGAATTTCTTAAGGCAGCTGTGTAATTGAAAGAGGAAAATATGCCAACATTGTGCCTGATTATTCTTTTCCCTGTGTGTGTACAGGCTATTACCTTGGGATTTGTTCTACAAGCAGCACTCAAATGGTGCTCCTGACATGTGAGGCATGGCAGTGAGTAAAGATTCTCTATATGTTAAATCATAAAAGCTGGAAAAATATCAAATAAAGCTGGATTTATCTCTTTGGAATACAAAGATCAAAGGTTCAAATACACTTTGTCTGAATGATTTTTCATCCGTTCAAAATCTTAAAGGAAGAAGTCATCCTCAGTACAAAAGAA